TCGATTAAAAATCTCTTGGGGCGTTTTGTATTCGCGGAAGATACGGTTTTAAAGAAGATTTCTTACACATAGCATAAGTTAATTAAACAGTACGAGTTTATTGTTATACGAATGACGCGCGCAAACGATTTACTAATGTCAATTTATAGCGAATAGAACGTTTGCTGTTAATCGTTAAATTATGTAATATTCGCAATTAGAAAGACAACTTTGCTTTTATGAAAAGAGTCTCCTGGGGTTACATATATATCTATATATATATATATATATATGAATTCATTTGCAATAAGACCTTTATTTTCTTTATAGAAGCCTAAATAAATTTACCAGTCATCGTTTATAGAAATCTTTTTTATCATTCTTTAATTATCATCACTGTTTGTCTTTGAAAGCAACTTTTTTTCTTTTTTTTTTTTAATTCTTCAATTTCTCTATTTTTATATAAGAAAAATTAGTTTCCATTAACGGTTTTCAGAAATTAATTTTTATATATAAATTCCAATTGTCAAAAAAAAAAAAATTATTTAAAAACGATTATTAATGAAAAATTAAGCATAATGTTGAAAATTTCTCGCCAAAATTTTCTCATATAATATAAATAAGAAAAGGGAACATGTCTCAGGTTGCAGATACGCAATACCCTGTACATTGTAAATTACATAGTACTACGGACACGATATTTCACAGGGTATCGTTTAAAGCGCAGATGATTTGTAACCCCAGCAAATGTTGCGTCGTCCTATCTCTATGCGAATCTTTGTAAAAAAAATATCTTCTTGAGACTTTTATACAGTATCTAGATAGTGCGTATATCGGTACACATGTAGGCAAAATGAACATTAAAAGTCATGCTTCAAAACATGAGATAGCATATTTCTTGAAAGATTGAAAAAAAAAAGAATAGAAACACACACATATTTATATTTATAGACAATAAGTATAACAGAAATGCGAAGCATATAAAAATATTGACAAGGGCTTCTTTACAGCATCCTTTCAAGGAGCAGCGGCAATGAAAAGAAAATTGATCATAACTGATCACTTTATCTGCACATATAGTATAACTCTATTTACAGCACTGCTATACTCGTTAACTATTTTCGATTACTCATTCGATGTACATACTGCATTTGTAACATTTACCTTCTTGACATATTCAATCGATTTCTTTCTGTTTTTTAATTTCATTTTTTTAATTAATTAAAAGATGTGTATTAATTTAAAAAATTTGTTTTACTACTTATAAAAAATTTAAATAACTGTTTTAAAAAAACAATTTAAAAAAAAATTACAAGAATTCACAGCATTTTATGTCTGACGAAACTTTGCTTTAACTACTTAGAAAAATTAAAAGCGCTGTATGACTAAAAAATACTTTTACTACTTATTTTAAAACCATACATTGAAATATTAGTAGAACTGTCTTTTAAATTATTTCGCAAATTAGATACAAATGTTTGTCTAACTAAAAGTAGCTTTTACTACTAATGTTAATTTAAAAGACTTTAGTGTTACTGAAATTGATTTTGACTATTGATTTAGAAAAATTAAAAATTGCAACTACCATCATAGAAAAATTCCCCAAAAATTCAATTTTTCTTAGGCAGACTATTTTATTGCAATTTCTTGCACAAAATACACCAAAAAGTGTAGAAAAAAATTGACAGCCCGATCCGAGTAGAGGAACACCATTTTTATGACCATTAAAGCGATTTTGCGCACACAGTAAACTTGGTTGTATCTTTTTCTATTGCAACGTTTTGATGCACATAAGTTATATCAAAAAGAGATCGTTTTGTGTATCATTTTTAGAAATGATACACGAAACGGTCTCATTTTTTGATGCAAAAAATTTAATCAATTTATATCAATCATGGCCGAATTGAATCGACTCAAAATTAAACGAATTTTTTTCAGATAGTTTGGTAATAGTACAATTGCGGAGACCATTTCACTATTTAATTTCAAAATGAAAATAACAGAAAATCAAAGACAATGTGCAATTCGATAATTAAAAAGTGACAGCTTATAAACATAACCTAAAATGCATGAGAAAAAATTTGTCGATAAAATCAATATAGCCGAGCTTTTTAGAAGGTAGATGGCAGTTTTGCTTTTTATAAAAACGATTCAGAAAAAATTTAAAGAAAGAAAATAGATGAGTGCTGCCATCTACCTTCTAAAAAGCTCGGCTATATTGATTTTATCGACAAATTTTTTCTCATGCATTTTAGGTTATGTTTATAAGCTGTCACTTTTTAATTATCGAATTGCACATTGTCTTTGATTTTCTGTTATTTTCATTTTGAAATTAAATAGTGAAATGGTCTCCGCAATTGTACTATTACCAAAATATCTGAAAAAAAATTCGTTTAATTTTGAGTCGATTCAATTCGGCCATGATTGATATAAATTGATTAAATTTTTTGCATCAAAAAATGAGACCGTTTCGTGTATCATTTCTAAAAATGATACACAAAACGATCTCTTTTTGATATAACTTATGTGCATCAAAACGTTGCAAAGATTTGATGCAATTTTTGGTCTCAATTTCATACTTTTAGGAAAACTGTGCAAAATACACCTAAAAGTGTAGAAAAAAATTGACAGCCCGATCCGAGTAGAGGAACACCCCTATTATGACCTTTTAATTCAATTTTTCTTAGGCACACTCTAAAATAATTAAAAAATAGAAAAAAACTGATAAAATGAAATAATATAATAAAAAAAAGTAGTAAAAAAATCATTTTCCATAAAATAGTTTCTTTTTACTATATAAATTTATTTCTGCAAAAAATAATCTCTTGGAAATAATAAACCTTACGTTAAAAATCAAATCAAAAAAAAAGAAAGAAAAAAAAAGAAAGAAAAAAAAATTGTGTTTCACATTGCAGGAGAAACGGAAATGATTAGATGGTTTTGTCGATGGCATAAGGGTGGAGTAGAGAGTAAGATCTAGATTCTTGAACGCGTCTATCGCTATTGTAAATGAATGTGCCCATAGTATACTTGGTGGCCATTATGAAAGATTTACAACGATTCTTTGGTTTTCTCTCGCGGTAGGCACCTCGGGCCATATGAAGAGAGGGGGCCCTATAGAGTAGAACGTCAGGCGGGTTGCATTTAAAGGGCGCAGTACTGTGCTATATTAGCAGCAATATACTGCATCGCTACGTAATGATTTCTTCGAGTTCTATGGGGCGCGAGATTTACAGTGCCCAGCAGCTTATAGCGAGATATACTCTCCAACAATGATACTATTACGTTTTAAACCTTTCACTATATATATATATATAAAATATAATTCATCTTTTCTCTAATATATTCAATATATACGTCTATTTAGTATTCGCGATATAAAATCGTTTCTATTTTCTATTCTTGTTTATATTTTACTCTCTTATGAAAAAAATTAATTTAATTTTCAAATTCGTTATGCGATTTATTAATATTTGATTAATATTCGATTACAACTTGCAGATAAATGATCTTTAATATTTATAATTATATAAAATAAAAAGGCCTAATTATTTTATAATATATAATAAAAAAAATAATTTTTTAATTATTACTACAAATAACGGTTTTAACAATAAATAAATATTTTAGTTTATTTTTTAATTAAAAAAGTTGTTATTGTTTTTATTTTGTGAATATTATTGAACTAACATAAAAAAGGTACTTTAATTGACTTAAATAATAATTATTTAATACCATTAATTTCATTTAATTAATAATTGAATTTATTTGGTAATAGTCAACTAATCGATTGTTTGAATCAAATAAATTTTTTTTCACTGTAGATTTTGAAATCTGCGAAAATTTTTTATTTAAACATTTAAATAAAATATATTTCCAATTAAAGTTTTAAAAAAAAACTCTTTTATAAAATATCTATAATAATTACAAAGTGCTTTTATATGAAAACAAGTTCTTATAATCAAATAACAAAATCAATTTCTCGTAGCCTCTCTTTTCATCGTTGCACTTTATATCAAAAACCTCATCATGATTAATTCAATTTCTTTTCTTTTTTTTTTTTTTTTTGGTATCTCATTCTCTTTAAGATGATTTTTTTTTCGCGTATTTCTTTCCTATATTATATTATAGGCGGGAATAATCAGATATTAATCATTTTGTATTATATAACTATATAGTTTAATAAAACGCAAATGACCCGAAATAGAAGCCGTTTCACTGACGTTAAAAATCTATATAAATAGTTGCATCGTCATGACTAGAATGATTGGGCATGAGATCGCGCTTATAATTAACAGGCAAACAATTGTCCGTATTGAAAGTTTTCTTACTAAGAAATAAATAAGGACAAAACATTTTAAGTTTGCGCTCACAATATGAAAGTTTCTTAGCTCGCCATATATTTATAATACAGAATTATATACTATCAATTTAATTGTTTATTGTTATTATTTATATATTATTACAGCAATCGATTTTTTTCACAGTGAATCAAGATCATCTGTTTTTTTTTTTTGTGCAAAAAAAAATTGTAATTTTTTCCAGGATAGAGAAACAAAAAAAATCCACGCAAATTGTGGAGTTCGTTGTGGCAAAATTGGGGTTTCTATGCGGCATGTGCCTTAGATTTGAAAATGCAATGCCCTTGGAAATCCCAAAAATGTTCAACGTGACACAGTATTTTTAGGAAAACTTCAACGAAAATTTTTTTTTTAATTGTAAAAAAATATATTTTAAAAAAAAATTGATTTTTTACTCCAAAAAGTAAAAGGTATTAAAATTCAGAATTTATTTTTCAGAATATATAATTAAGAGACTCAATTATAGGTAAGTAATTTATTAATTTTCTTCGATATGATTTTTTAAATTATTAGTAGAGAATAGATTTTTTTTATTCTCAGTAAATTATAAAAAAAAAAAATTTCCATTAGTTTTGATTTTTAAAAATAATTTAAAAAAATAAAATAAATTTTATACTAGGCATAAACTTTAATAGAATTTAATGTATAAAGAAAATTTACCAGTGAATCGGAAGCATTCAATAATCGTCTAGGTCGATAGAAAATACGGCTCAATGGAGTGAAAAATTTGAAATCAGTGTCGATAACATCTTTATCGGGCATCATTCTTTGTATTGTCAAAAAATTTATCACAATCATCAAATTAGAAAAAAAAATAAAGGAAAATTATAATAAATTTTTACACTATAAAATATGAAAATCATTTCAAAACACACACATTTTTCCTTTAACTACACTAGTGAATATATTAAATAATTGTATAAAGAAAATAGTATAATTTAAAAATTGTTTTGTAAAAAAATAAAACTAATAAATAAAAAATAAATTTCAGAAAATTTTCATAATTTTAACACTCATTAAACACAACTATTCGTTACGAAAAATGTCACGATACTGAAATGATTTTCTTTAGTAAATAAGGACAAATAAACAGGTGGTAAAATTAATAATGTCCCTTGAAGAACGCTAGACAACAATATAAACATTTGATAATAACAACAAAATAAATTTAGATAGATACAAAAATACAAATATTCGTTTCGATTATTCAATTTTATTAAATCTTTAATAATCTACGTTATATAAATTTAATTTTATTAGCATTATAATTAAATTAAAATAATAAGTAGCAATTAAACAAAGTCTGTATTATCTTTAATATAGAGAAAATTTATTTTGTACAAAAATGTGCATTTACTTTTTTTTTCCTTCATATGACAAAAATATATTTTAAACACTAAAAAGTAAATCGAAAAACATAAAAAAAAAAAACTTATATACATCCAGAGGAAAAAAAGAAAAAAATATATTATTTATCAATTTGTAAATTTTATTTTTTATGCCTAAATTGTACGTAAAACAAAATAGTAGAATCCTTTTTTTTGGGGGGGGAGGAAAAAAGTTGAATATTTTAAATCTTGAATTCTACCACTTGTCATTTTCAACAAATGCCTTCTCTTGAGATTGTTCCTTGTGTTCATTTGATTCAACCTTTCTTTTTCGTCGTCTTTTTCCTACATAAAGAAAATAAATTCATTTACGCACACGTCTGCATTTATAAATGCAATTAAATTAATAAATAAAAAAAAATTTTTTGGTAAATAAATAACAAATCTCTTAAATATTCTATTTAAAAAAAAATTAATTAAAATATTTTTTTAAATTAAATTGTATTAAATTCATAAATTGACTCATTTTTTTTAATTATGTCAATTTTTAATTAAATTAATAACAATGAAAACAGCTTTGATGAATATTTATTCGATTAAAAACTCATATAATGTACTGAAAATCTTTTTTATTATACAGAACACAATGTTTTTTTTTATATATATATATATATATAAACTATTAATTTACTCTTAGATAATCTTTCTATTCGCGAGAAAATGAATAGTATTATTAAATTAAAAACAAATAGAAACCTTTTGTTATAATAAAATAAAATGCATAAACTCAGCACAGCTAAGGATAAAAAAAAATGTACCAACGTACTCAATAATAATAAAATGAGTTTTTAAATAAAAAAAAGTTTACTCGTCTTCCAAAAATTATCTTATAAATGCTTAAAAAATAATTAGTTTCATAAATTGAGTGCATTAAACATTTAAAAAAATATTTTATATCAAACAATATATAAAACTTATATATTTTTCTAATATTATTTCACTATAATTCGTCAATAGTTCTATAACAATATTTATAGTGAATTCATTTATTTAAATAATAAATCATATAATAATTCTCTATATATAATCATAGTCTTATCAAAATGAGTTTATGTAAAAAGAGAATTTTTGTATGAAAAAAAAATAATAAATTCCTCAATATTTATTTATGAAAATATTAAATGTCAGTGACTGTTTTTTTTTATCAGTCTATATCTTTTTTTTTAAGAAAAAAAAATACCATAATAAACTATTTTTTATTCGATATCACGAGCCAGTAAATAAAAATCGCAAGAATTATAATTAGAAATCGAAATAACTCTGACTGTGACAAATATCGAAAACCATAAAATAAATGTGCGAATAAATTTTGTATACCTTCAACAGTTTCCCAACCTTCTTCATTTTGAGTTTCTAATCCCTGTTGTTTTTCATTTCTGAAAAAAAAAAAATTAAAAAATTAGAAAAAATGTAAGAAAACTTTTTTTTTACTCTTTTTTCATTTTTGAATTAAATATTTACTTATGAATTTTTTTCAATTCTATATTTGATTTGAATAAAAAATTTCTCTGGTTGTATAAAAGATCAATAACAAATTGCGTTGCAATTATTATCAAGTTTCATATGGATGAATTAAAAAAAAAATGTACATATTTTCCTACATGAAATATACAAGAAAAAGGATTATCTACTTCGTTTATTGATGAAATTACGATCCACCTTTAATTATATGGCACGTGGGTCCTTCATTAACAATTTTTTTTTCCTTCCTTCTCTTTATAAATTGAAATTGATGATATGAATTTAAAAATTCGAAAATCTATCTCGGAGATAAATAACAAGTTCTCAAATAGGTATAAAGATTCTTTTTTTTTTAAATAACCGTTAACATTCGACTAAGAAAAGTCTTGATTGCACCTTGTACTGAACAGAACTTCGTTAACGAATCGCTTCAAGTAATTAATGTAAGCATTGCAATGCGAATTGTCAAGGGTCTCTGTTTATTTGCTTTCCAAATGTCTTGTTTAATTCTGAAGAGAGAAAAGAGAAGGAAAAAAAAAATTTCAAATTCCTTAAATTAAATATATTAATCGTTTCTGTATTTTATATAGCAGTGAAGTTGTGGATATCAAGTCAATCAATCAATTGCAATCATCGTAGAGTATTGCTATCGTTTCTGTCACTGATTAGGTGAATAGTCGATTCGCTTAGTGCTTACGACTTACAGTTGACTAATGACCATACAACTCAGATTGGAATAGAATATACTTGACAGGACAATAATTCATGGGCGTATTTCAGGTGGCAATCTTTGTGCTAACTAAAATCATAGTTGTATTCATACGTTGAAACACAGACTCGTTTGATAATAGATATATATATATATTTAAAAAATGATGATAGAACGTATAGGATAAATAAAAAAAAATTTTAATCCTCCCACCGAATTTATTTTCTAAATTAATTAATTAATCAAGAGAAGATAAATTTTGATTAATGATATTCTTTTCCCTTTTTTGTTTCTTTAAAAAATCATTTTAATAGAAAATTTTATTACAATGTTTTTTGAATTTCTCTATTATTAATAATAATTTATTATTCTCAATATTTAATATTATTTATATTTGAATTAAATATTTGAAATTTAATTGAATAAAAAACGTTATAAATATATTTTATGGAAAATTATATGTAATGAATAAATAAATTTTGTTTTGAATAAAAATTTAGCTAAATGGAAAATTTATTTTTTGCATGCAAAATTAAAGAGATTTGTTCATTTTTAAAAAAGCTGAGAGAGAGAGAGAGGGAGAGCAGAGAAGCGTGTACAACTCATTACGTGCAATCCCGAGGGCGTTGCCATAAGATGCAGCTGTGTATCAAAAGGAAGAGAAAAGGTGTACGCAAACGTCTATTCGCATTATGCATGGAAATCCACCACCGCTTTCTTCCCCTTGATACCTGTTCCTGTGGGAGAAGCTTCATTTTTTTTTTTTTTTTTTTTTAATAATATTACATCATCGTCATTAATTTTTTTCTCATTTCTCAACAACTGAGAAAAAAAAGAATAAAAATTACTCTATTTTTAATTATATTTTCCAATTAGTTTCAGATCTTGTTTTATATTTTCATTAAATTAGACTATTTCATTAAATTATTAATTTTATTAAAATAATTATACAGAATAAAATACAATCATTTTCTATGAGGAAGCAAAATATTCTTGAAAATAAAATTTGTTTCTTCAATTAAAAAAAAAATCGACCCCATTTTGTTTATAATTAAAAAAAAATCCAAATCACTTTTTGATGTTATAAATTATAAAATATTTTATTTTTTATATTTCTTTACAATTATGCGCCCATTTTTTTTTTCGAAGATAAATAAAATAAATTAATTTCATTTTCCACATTTAATTCTGAATTAGGTATATATATTTTCTTATATCTTTCAAGAACATTGTCCATCGTTTTTTTTTTTATTCTTTTTCTTTTATTTCTTGTAAAGTTTATGAACTTCTATACATAAAGAGAAACAAGTGATTTTTCCCTATATATATATATATATACAAAAGGTTGATAGTGTCTCGTGATGTTCAGGAAACACTGTCTCTCTCTCCCCCAATGGGCTTTCTTTCATTCTCTCTCAATGTCTTGTAATCCATACTCCAAATATAGATAGGAATAAACATTGGAATTGCAGGTACACACTATCGTATGCGACACAACGCTAATTTGCATAGTACTGTATTTCGCTTTAACGTTTGAATCATGACTGTCGGGACTGAAGGCAGCTTGCACGCGCTGCGCTTCATTCACATTTGAAATCGAAAAAAATAAAATAAAATAAATAAATCTTCTCTCCTTTTGAATATTTTTGCTCACAAACCAACATGTGTTCATATAAATCTAAGTTTACTCCTAGAAAACATAATTCAATCGTTAAAAAAGTGAAATTTAAAAAAAAAAATAAAAATCATATTTAATTTTTTTATTCAACAGAATTTTTAATTTACCAAGTTTTCATTTATCAGAATTATTTTCATTTTATTTAAATTTTTATTTTATTACAATTTGCATATTAAATAAATATTTAACTTCCATTTTCATTTAATATATCTATTAAATGAAAATTCAACTAAATTATAATTTTTAAAAAAAAAAGTTCAATAAAAAGAAAATTTGTTTAAATAAAAATTCTGCTAAATAAAAAAAATTGATTAACATATATATATATTTTTTACATGAAAATTCGGCTAAATTCGACATTATTTTAATATAAATTCTATTAATTAATTTCTATTCTAATCGTTCTTTATTCGTTTCTATATAGACTTTTCTTTTCACTCGACAATTATCTGTTTCTTTTTCTTCTTTTCAAGAGTTCAATTCGCTTGTCCAATCAAAGATGCGCGAATTTGAATTTCAAAGTTGGAAATGAAGGCGCATGTTACATTATTCTAATCAATGCCCTAATACTCGTAAGTCGTTGATTTTATTCACACACGCGCGGGCAAAGGCGGCTCATTTGTTCGCAGTAATGAACGCGATTGGGTGCGCCAATATATATATATATATATATATAAGATACACAGGCGAGGAAGTACTCAAACGAAGTTGTCCTTTTTTTTTAGGAAGGCGGCATTAAAAGTTAATCGTTTATTCATTACTGGAAATTAAGTATTGAAAATAGTTAACAAGTACCGATAATTCGACATTAAAGTTCGAATTCTTTTTTTTATGCCAACCAATAAACGATTGATAAATGCTTTTAGTCATGCAAATATATCTCGTCGAATGCAATAAATTAAAATCAATCGTGAATTACCTTTCAAACATTCCGTTAATAATCTCACGTTTTGTGTTATTATTTTATCAGTTAAATTATTTTTCTTTGTTAAAAATAAATGAAAAAAAAAATATATTATTGATTGAATAAAACAGCAGTTTTGTAAAATATTCAATAATTTTTTTATTTTAAATGTAAAGTTGAAAAAAAAAATCATTTCTTTGCGTGTAGATCATCTTAGTATATTTTATGTTCTGAAACATTTTGAGATCGGATATAGCTAGTAAACTATTTTCGCAAGAAGGTAGAAATATTCTGATTTATCGAGAGCGAGCGAGGAGTATGTGTGTGAGCGCGAGAGAGATCACGTGACGTGATGTTTTGCATAAAAACACGTGTAACGAGAATCACAAGCATTAATTCAAGACTAAGTCTACGGCCCTATGCTAATTTACCTGTGTACAGGAAATCTCGAAGGGCCTGAGGTAAAAAGAGAGATAGAGAGAGAGAGAGAATGAACTCTGGAAATTATTAACGCGGTTACTCATGGTCGATAACGCGCGAGTGAACGAACTGTTTTTTTTTTTTTTTTGGTTTCTCTTTCGATACTTTGCGTGAACTACGGTTGTCCTGTAAAAAAAAAAGATAAAAGGGAGAAAAGAGCATATGCAACTGCAGAACGGCTTACATGGACTTGCTAAGTTATGGTAAACCAGTAGAGTACGCAAAGAGTCCTGACATTGCCTATGCGCTTATATTCCTTTCCTCTAACTCATCTAAGGTATTCGTTAGAGAGGAAAGAGAGAGAGAGAGAGATAATCCTAAGATGTGAGCTTCTTTCACTTGTCAAACTAAACTACAATAAATTGAACTTGAAAAATTAGAAACACCTGTAAAATTATCTACCGTCTTTTCTTTTTTTTCTCATTCAAAAAGTTTTACTATTTTTAATAATTACCCGATATTACAGAATTTTTTAATAAATATTTTTCTAAAGAAATTAATTAAAAACAACAACATTTCTATAACGAAGAAAAAAAAACACCAGAGATTATAAATGCATAAAAAAAAAAAAATTTACTCACTCAGACGATTCCAATTTTCGTTTTCGCAATTTAAGTCCTTGATCAAATGGCTCTATTGACTTTTGATGATCGGCAAATTTTTTAATTGTAAAAAATTTTGTATTCTTCACTTTTTTGAGAACATTTTTAACTTGATCTCGTTTATATAAACTGACAAAAGCCGATGTATCGGATAGCCATGATACAAAAACACCGCCTAAAAATTTTGAAATAAAAATTAAATTAAAATCAAAAATTTTTTTCTTCAATATTTCTTATAACATAAAAAATATTTTACCATAAGCTGTAAATAATTTTGATATATCATTTCCCTTCCATTCACGTGGAAATGTTATATAAAATACATGTTCTCTGCTGGGCGAGGCTGAAACAAAATATAATGTGATTTTAATTTTACAAAAAAGGATATTTTAAAGTTTATTTTAAAACAGCTTACGATCATTTCCCACTAAGTTAATGTGGGGTACATCCTTCAGTCTAACGATAATGAGTCTAAAAATAAATTAAAAAACACAAATTTATAATTTTAAACATGATTTTTAAATATTCATTAAAATTTACATATTTAATAAAATAAACTTTATAAAAAATAAAAGATTATTTTATTTGCAAATAATTAATAATGCAAACTAATTGTCTTACTTGTTGAGAAACGAATTTAATAAAGGTGAGTCAGGAAGAACAATATCCACTGATGGAGATTCTAGGGACCCTGAAAGAAAAGTTGAGTTTAATATAATTTTTTTTTTCAAATTTTGCAAATATTGAATAATTTAACAATAGAAGAAACATAAAAATGTTCAAACATTCTCACTTCAATAGTTTTTATCAGTTCATATCACTGAAACTTTGAAACTTTTAAATAATTTACTCACCAAGATAATTTTTCATAGCGATAAAGCACATTCCAGTCATGAATGCATCATAACCAGCTTCGTGACATTTTTCCGTTGTTATTGAATAACTGCGATCTTTTACAGGAATAACGTCCGGAAGTGAAAATGGTTCTTTACTGCAAGTATCTAAAAGATACTGCAAATTTGTTAAAGGAACTTTGTCCTTCAATTGTGCTGATTGGCTTATTATTTTTGTATCTATTATTCTACAAATAAAAAAGTATTTTTAAAAAATTTTTAACTAATAATATAAAAGTTGTTTTTTTTTATTAAACATTAAATATTAATAAAATATAAAGATAATTGTAAAAAAATTTATACATACTTTGGAAATAAGCCATGAACGAGTGCTTTAAATTCCGAATATGTTTCGGGTAATGGATTAAAGAATTGTCGAATAATATGACAAAGATCCAGTAACATATTGTGTCCAACAATCAATTTTCCCTGTAAAAATAAATGAATGAATAAATTATCAAAATATTTTCAAATAATTAGAATATTTTTTTTTAAATTATATACAAACCGAATTAGAAATTTTCTTTAACAATGCACTTAAACCAATAGCATCTTTCATTTCTAATTGTTCCTTTTCTTTTCGTTCGGCCTCTTTTTTCTCTTCCTCCTCTTTTGTTCCAACTTTTGTCACTACCAAAATTTGATTTGGTCCCTCTGCCTTAAAATCTAAATTAACTTTCTTTCGCCATTTCATCTTCACCTCTTGATAAACTAGCCTTCTGATAAAGGCATTACATCTATCTATCGAAAGTTTGTCGGCGTCTGAATTAATGAATTCTTCAATTTTCGAACTAAAATATATGAATTTTTTTTTTTTTATTGATATTAATCATACTAAAACGATTGTTATGAAAAATAAAATTATAAATACTTACAGAATTTCTTCAATAGTTTGTTTATCACTATCGGGAATAGGTATTATTTCTTGACCCTCTTCGCGAATCCTTTGCTTTTCCTCCATTTTCTTTTGTAATCTTTCCTCTTCATTTTTCGTGAGAAAAGGAATTCCCGAATTAAATAATTTATTAAAATCAAAACCCTGACTCGCTAAGAATGATATACTTGATGCTTGGCAAATAAATCGACAATCAGGTGCTCCACGATTAAGAGGATGTGGAAATGCATAAAAATTATAAGATCGTTGATTATATCTAAAAAAAAAAAAGAAAAGAAATAAAAAATATAAACTAATTATTCTCTTATTTTTTAAAATTAGTTGAATACAAGATTTAACATACTTCTTCGTAATATCGTCAAATGTGAAAACTGAAAGTCCAAATTGTACCAGTAGAAAGTTCATTGAACCCGATCTAAGTTTACTGTAATACTGTGCAGGTGTATCGAACGGTGTACTGTCAGGTCCTTGATTTAAACCAGTAAATTCTGTGTCAATGCACAAAAATGAGGCATCTTCTAAAACCTTGTCCAATTCTTCCATAACATCTTGAAAGTCTTAAGTAAACAAATACAAAAAATATATTATATTAAATTCTAATGTAATATTTGTCACTTTCATAAAATAACATAAAATAATATTGATATTTTTCATTATAATTTTTCTTTTGTTTTAATTCACAACAATGTAATGTCAATAAATTCGTAAACACAGACATTCGAATATTTTGTTAAAATATAATTTTTATAGTACGAAATATCGAGAATAGACAATTTTTTTAAAATTCTACAAGAATTTATTTGTTATAAATTATTTTAACAGAAATTTTAATACTTACTTGTACGTACAACTTCCATATTTAATTTTGATCGTCCCCGTTATATTTATTGTAAAAATAAATACATAGAATAAATAATTATAAATAATTTATTTAACAGAATTATAAATCATGAATTTATATAAAATTGTTAACTCAAATCTTTTAAAATCAAATAAAACTCATTACAAAGGAGGACGATCGTTTGTTAGCAGTTTTAGGTTATATTTCACTTTGCATTTAACGCCGATTTAGTAAGCCGAGTGACAAACAAACTAGAAGAGAAGTAGAATAAATTGAATCTATGTTGGTAATATAAACCTGTACAGGTAATAAGAAATTGGCAATTAAACCAAATCAAATGGTAATGGTGTAGTTTAAAGAAAATGACTTTACCATGCGTTGAATACGTTCATAAATAAAAAAGACTCCGCAAGGTGGAGCCATAGGTGGGACGTTCAAAGTCCATTTTCCATAGATGGGAAGTTAAGTTAGGGAGTTAAGCCTGGACAAATTTAAACGTACTACCCATACCTGGCTCATACATTCCCGCCATTTTGGAAAGTGAAACAAGCTTAATCAGTATTTGCCGGTCTTCCCTCGCTTTCTCATGTGTCACGTGACTGTAAATAACTGTTTAACACTTTAATTTGATTAATTTACTAATACGGTATATTGTTTAATATGTAAAGTGATTTAAGTGAAGTGATTTAAGAAGAAAGAAGAAGAATATTATTATTTGGTGAGTAATTTTATATAGCTACGTATATAAATATATATATATATCATAATTTATTTAATCATTTTGTAGAACACAAAATGTTTATCATAAATAGTGTTTATTTTTTGCATTCTATCTGTTCGTTTGTTGATTTTTCAACATAACCTAATTGCCAAAATGTTAGAAAGATCGTTTTAATAAATTTTTGAATTTAACGTTTATTCTATTCAAATTTTAAGGTTATTGACTGAGTTTATGGTTTTTCACGTTATCAACAGTTGCAATTATTGTTATCTCTGTTTATAAAAAAAAATATATATTTATGTTACTTTTTTAATATTTAACGGAAAAATTCTTATAAAAAATAGTCGCAAGGGATTTAAAATTTTTAGAATTAAAAAAAAAAAAGTAAATAATGAAAATTTTTTTAAAGGAACATTAAATTTTGAAATATTATCTATTCAAGGTCATTTATGTTGGCGCTATTATGGCGCTATGGTGTAATGGTTAGCACTCTGGACTCTGAATCCAGCGATCCGAGTTCGAATCTCGGTGGGGCCTTTTTTTCAGAGTCCAAATTATATTTTTATGTTTAATAATAATAATTATTATTTTAAATTTATTTACATCTTTTGGGGAATTTTGTTTTAAACGTTATACAAAATGAAATTAATACAATCGAAAGTTTAAAATGATCATAAATTATTTACTTATATTTATTTTCGCAATTACTATATACATATGCAACATTTTTTTTTTTCTTTAAAAAACGTCAGTTTTATAATACACAATTTAAACATTTATCGCACATTTTTTGAGCACACATAATTCTAGTTTTGAATTACATACATCCTTTAAAAAAAAAAATGCTTTATAAAAGTTTATAAAATTTTAATAAATTAAATTTTTTTTTATAATAAATAATGTAAGCTATTGAAATTTTAATTAAAATACTATACATAGGTAAATACTTTATAAATTTCCCTTTTTCGTGTTTATTGTTTCTGTGATTTTTTTTTTGTTGTGATTTATTTTTTGATATGTTTGTTTTTTAAAATTCAAATTTAATTATATTCATCGTTTTGGAGTTTGTAATAAACTTTTTTCAATTGCGCGCATTTTTAACCATTTGGTTAGGACAGCAACGATCGTTAATACTGCACCTAAAAATGAAATGACCCCTAGAACAACAAGAACCATGAACCAACTTTTAAAATTTCCAATTCTATCTGAAATATCGCAATTACAATATTCACTTTCATTTAAATTTAATGATGAAAAATCAACTGGTCTTAGGGAAATTAATTTTGTTTCTTCAATTTTAATTTGCCGTCTACGTGTTACATTGTGTGATTTTTTAATGAATTTATATGATATACTATATGTAAATTCCTGCCCATCAAAAGATCCTTTAGCGCTATAAAATTGAATCATTAGAGAATTTCCGCTTGAAATAATGGGCACCTGCAACAGACAGTTATATAAAACAAATTATACAATATATATATATAAAAAATATTATGAAACTAAAATTACCAACGTTGATTCAACGAAAAAATAAAATTTAAGGATTCTAATCCCCATCAATGAAATTTGATTATTTTCAACCCTCTGAAACAATCATTGTTTTGTCCCGGATTTTCCGAAAATTTCGAAATTTCAAATAATTTTCATATTTCCTCGACTCGGAAGCAATTTTTCTCGTTTGATAATTATTTATTTCAATGCTAGAAGCATTTTAAAAAAACAGGAAAATTGCTTCCGAGGCGGGGAAAATAATATTTATCATTGTTTTTTCACAGATTTTTCCAAAATCCCGAAATTTCATGAAAATTATTATTTTCCCGTCTCGGAAGCAATTTTTCTCGTTTGATAATTATTTATTTCAATGATAGAAACCTTTTAAAAAGCAGAAAAATTGCTTCCAAGTCGGGGAAAGCAGTGATTTTGAATTATTTGTCACGGATTTTTTTCGAAAATCCCGAAATTTCAAGAAAATTATTACTTCCTCGCCTCGGAAGCAATTTTTCTTGTTTGATAATTATTTATTTCAATGCTAGAAGCCTTTTTTAAAAAAAAAGAAAATTTGTTTCCGAGGCGAGGAAGTAATAATTTTCTTGAAATTTCGGGATTTTCGAAAAAAATCCGTGACAAATAATTCAAAATCACTGCATTCCCCGACTTGGAAGCAATTTTCCTGTGTTTTAAAACGATTCTAGCATTGAAATGAATAATTATTAAACAAGAAATATTGCTTCCGAGGCGAGGAAGTAATAATTTTCTTGAAATTTCGGGATTTTCGAAAAAAATCCGTAACAAAAAATTCAAAATCACTGCTTTCCCCGACTTGGAAGCAATTTTTCTGCTTTTTAAAAGGCTTCTATCATTGAAATAAATAATTATCAATCGAGAAAAATTGCTTCCAAGTCGAGTAAATATCAAAATTATTTGAAATTTCGAAATTTTTGGAAAATCCGGGACAAATAATTCAAAATCACTGCTTTCCCCGACTTGGAAGCAATTTTCCTGTGTTTTAAAACGATTCTAGCATTGAAATTAATAATTATTAAATAAGAAATATTGCTTCCGAGGCGAGGAAGTAATAATTTTTTTGAAATTTCGGGATTTTCGAAAAAAATCCCGTGACAAAAAATTCAAAATCACTGCTTTCCCCGCCTCGGAAGCAATTTTCCTGTTTTTTTAAAATGCTTCTATTAAAATAAATAATTATCAAACGAGAAAAATTGCTTCCAAGTCGAGGAAATATCAAAATTATTTGAAATTTCGAAATTTTCGATAAATCCGGGACAAAACAATGATAAATATTAATTTTTTTTTATTTCAGGTTTTAGATGGTTGAAAATAATCAAATTTTATTGATGGTAATTAGAATCTTTAATTTCTTCGTTGAATCAACATTGGTAACTTTAGTTTAATTTTCCATTTTTTATATATTTGAAATATTTTACTTTACCTGAATGTTATTAATATCAGAATGTGATGTATCACAAAATGACCAAAGCATTTGATTATTATTCTCATAAATTCCATTGTAAATTGTTATTTCATTTCCTTTACAATAAACTGATTTACTGTTATTTTTTTTCTCTAAATCATTTGATTCGTTTGTAATTAATTCTTTTCTTACAATTTTTAATTGAATTGAAACTTTCTCAGTGATTTTTCCAAGAAATTTATAAATACAAATTGTACCTGGTGGATACCAATTTTCCATTGATTTAATAATTTCTCTTGACTTATCAGAACTTTTGAATATAAATTCACAATTTTTTTCAAAATTTGATTTTATTCCTACATCAATTTCTTGTAGGGTCAAATGAAATCCATCATGCATAATGGTTCCATCATTGTTGGAATAAAACTCAATAATGATATTTCTCCCTCTTGATAAGATCTGTGGTATGTGACCCTCACCACAAAATTTTGTGATTTCAAAAATTTTACCATTTATATTCTCTAGTAAAGCGAGATAATCGCTTAAACAATTTGTATTTTCTAACTTATCATCAATTCGATAACGTCTTAGAAATGATGGTGGATTCGTATTTTTTCGAAATTTTCTCGATTCATTATTAAAACGATTATGTTTATCACGTTTGATTTCATTTGGTGGTAATAATGGACTATTATTTAATGGATTCCACTCGTTAAAAGATAATATCTTTTCTTTAAAATGTCCTTCATGTCGAAATCGATTAGATTCAAATGGTATTGTTTGGGTCTTTAAATGTTTAGCTATAACATTCTGTTTTAATTTATCGTTATTTTTTCTACCTAGATTTACCCTTGTTCTGTGAGGTTTTATTGTTTGACGATATTTTTGTTGTGGACGATTATCCTGACTGATTATGATCTCGTCTTCTTCATCTCGTTTTGCGTTTGTATTCCTCAATGTTCGTATTCTAATTAGGTTGACAAAAAGAAAATTTTATTTTTTTTTAAAATAGAAAATATCGTATTTAAAGAATTAGTTAAAGAATTTTTTTTTTTTTATACCTGGCTGCTTGAAAATAACTTGATTTTGTCTCGAAAGGTTTCTCAGGTTCAAAAATATCTTGACAATTTTCTGTAATACAACCATCTTGATGGGTGTAATTCATAAGACTGTAGATGTCCTCTGAACTGCCTATACTAAATCTTCCTGTACTTGATTCAAGGGCAATTCTGCATCTGATGCCTCTTGGATAAACACCAGGATATCCGGGTGAAACTAAGCGACAATATCGACGATCATTACGATTATTGCATTCGAGTGGACATTCACTGATTGAGGGTCCAATGAGCCCTCGATGTCGTTCATTTGCCAAACGTGATGGTAAAATTGAATATTGAGCAGAAAATATCACAGGATTCTCAGCGGCAAATTTTGTCTCTGAATTCATTACTAGAGTCAAATCTGGGCCTTTTCTTAAAAATAATCTAAAAATTAAAAGTAAAATTTAGTTTTTATATGTACATATATTTCAATACAGTGTTATTGAAAAAAAAAATTACCTAGTTGTATTACTTGTAATGTGACCACAATATCGTCCAGAATCTACTTCCAAATCATCTGATGATGAATCTTCAAAGAATTGTATATATGCTCCTAAGCATTTGGAATCTTTTAAAACACCCACTTGCAGTCTTCTTATTCGAAGTTCAATTATCTATAGAGAAAAATTTGTATATAGAAAAATATAATTTATATTTATTTATTAATTATTAATAAATAAATAAATACCTGAGGATCCTTTGAAGGGGCTTTAATTCGAACAATACATTTTCCCATTCGTCCGGTCCATCTAATCAATCCCACAGAATTTCTAACTGTTCGATTGCATCCTCCTATAAATAAAATTAATATATTTAAAAAAAAGTATGTAAACAGAAAAAAATTTAAATCTTTTATCGTAACTACTTTCTTATCAAAAAATTTTGTTTCCCAATCTCCTCTTTCTCTAAAGTCTTTTTTTTAATGCTCACGTGGCTATTGCATAAAATTAAGCATTTAGCGCATTGCATCGATAACGAAAAGAAGATCACTTTTCGCCAAATGGGGGAATAAATGTTTTACTCGGTTTGTGACGTTACGCCAGATTAGACTCTTTCATATAGGGTTGGCCTTGTGCACGCTATATATTTCTGGATAGAACGTTAATCCGACGACTTTTGGAGATTATGTCGGGAGAGTTCTCCTCTTCTTTTTTAAGGGGGTGCCTCGACATAGTTACGATCATCGCCCTTCTCTTTAAATATATATATCTCTAAAAATTACCCACATAATAACCTTGTTAAAAAAAGATACAAAGCAATTTCCTTTTTAACAAAAAAATCAACTGAAAATAGTTTGGCAAAACAATAGGAAAAAAAAAAATGTTATTTTCGAGTTATATATCTCTTTATATACTAATGGAATTACTCATCGATAGTATGGTACCGCTGACCACTGAGGCTATTGAGTTTGTTGGCTAATTAATTGGCATTGATGCCGCCAATCATTTTGAAGTGAGCAAGGTTTACATCAAACCACCATATATGCAAACCATTTTCCCGATATACATTTTGTTTCATTAAAATGAGAAAAAAAAATATGGAAAAAAATACAGAAAAAATTAATACATGATATGTTTTTTTTTTTTGCAAAACAAGATTTTCAAATGAGAGCACGTTCCTGAATATTGTTGAGTCGCCAAAATTGCATCATATACGTATACGCATACACGACATAGGGAATAAGAAATAATTGCTATGAACTCTGTATATATATTGTAAGCGCCGTATAATAATAATAATAATAATAATAAGTGTTGCTGAGACGAGACAACGTCGGGTATACGTTAAAACGACGATAATCTATTTAACAATTTCCTCGGCTAGATTGAACAACAACTGAATTATCAATATTCTAAAATTTTTGAAAAATTCGAAATTCATTATTGCGCATACATTTTGAATATAAAGAAATAATTTTCTTTTCTTATTAAACTGCCATTATTTTTATTATCATTTTACAAATATATTGTATAAACTAGGTGTTCATGTCATGACTAGCTTCCTCATCATGATACACTTATATTCAAGATTTAAAAGAAGGATTACAACTAAAAATAGCGATCAATTTTATAAATATATTAGTAAAATGAAAACTTTTGTATACCTCAATCGATTCATTTTTATGTCAGGAATATACAATTTTGACAAGAATTAATTAAAATTTTTATATCAGAAAAAGTTATTTCAAAAAATACAAAAAACGATTATTTTCAAAAATTCAAAAAAAAATGATTTAATCTATATAAAGAAAATTAAAAGGCATTAAAATAAGCTGCAATGCTTATTATTTTCATCCAATTTTGCTTATTTTAATCCATTTTGGTATTAAAATAATAAGCGTTATGCAGCTTATTTTAATGCCTTTTAATTTTCTGTGTAGATTTCAGTAAAATGTGAACTTTATATAGGCTAATCGACTCGTTTTAATGCAAGAAATAAGTTTTTTTTACTAAACAAAATTAAATTTACAAAGAAAAAAATATTTTAAAAAAAATTGTTTTTTAAATTTTGAAAAAATTGTAAAAAGTAAAATGTGAATATATTCGGAAATCCTTGTGTCAGATTTTAGGTATTAATGATTTAAGCATAAAATTTTTTAGAACAATCCGTTAAAACGTTTCTGAGATAATTTGTACACAATATTTTGTGACATACACACACATACATCTGGACATTTGCTCAGGACTTCATATATATTATTTCTAGATGAAAATGAGTCCATATAACCCAATTTTAAAAAATCGAAAAACGTCACGAATGCAAAGCTTCCTCATGAGGAATGAGCCAAAAGTTTTGAACGTTCAAATGAACGAAATTTTTTTTTGCAACTTATTTATTTTATTTATTTTATTTTAAATACATTATTACAAAATTTTGTTTTAAATATCTAAAAAGAAATTAATATTTTAATAATTGTTTAATTTATAGATTGAAAAAAATATTTCGTTCATATGAATGTTCAGAACTTTTGTCTCATCATGATAGGAAGCAATATTTGGTCTTTGAGAGTGTTGAATTTAACCTCCATGAAGTTGGCGTCGACACTTGAAATTTATTTTTCACGGGACCAAAATTATTATTATACAATAATAAAATGCTTATTGGTCTGTCCTTCTGTCCTAACTTGAAGTTGGTCTTTACTGATTTCACGCGTTTTTTTTGAATTGTAATGTTATAACGTGTCGTGTCAAATTTTGACAATTTTTTTTTCTCATTTTTGCCAAATAATTGTGTTTTCAAATTTCGAAATTGGTTTCTTTAAAATTTTTTTATAATAAACAATGAAACATCAAATTTCGCGCACGTTTAATTTTGCTAGTTATTGAATAATTTTTAACAGGGTGTCTTAACGGTCAGGGAAAGTCGCAGGGAAACGTCAGGGAATTTTGTTGGTCAGGGAAATGTCAGGGAATTTCAGAAAATTTCATTCAAAGTCAGGGAAGTTTCTGTAAATTTCTACAAAAAAATTAAAATTTTTTGTGAATTTAAAAATTTTTAGTCTAAAAAAACTTGAATGGTTTTTATTACCATTTGTTACTACCATTAGAAATTAATTTATTGTGAAATATGTCAGTAACCATATTTTTGTTCAAAAAAAGCAGAAATAAGGTTATTAAAAAGTCAGGGAAAAATCAAAAAATGTCAGGGAGGAGTCAGGGAATTTTTTTCACAATCCCTGTTTAAAAAGTTTTTGGGTCCACATAATATTTTGAAAAGTATTTCTCAAGGTATTATTTGGATTGAAAATCTTTAAAAAAAAATAATTTGACATTTTTCGGTTCAGTGAAAAACAATTTTCGGCGATAAACGTCGACACCAACTTCATTGAGGTTATGGATTTACTTGGATAAAATAAATAAAATCATCTTTAATATAAGTGAAAAAGAAATTAAATTAATTTTCATTTTGATACATATTAGAAAGAAAAAAAAAATATTTAGCAGAGCGTGGTTTCGATCCACGGACCTCTGGGTTATGGGCCCAGCACGCTTCCACTGCGCCACTCTGCTATCTTGGGGTTGAATTTTCAAATACCCGGGGGCAAGAATTCGATCGAAAATTACTATAATCCATTTGTTTTCTACAATTGTTTATTGAAAATAAAAAAAAAAAAGTGTTTTGAATTAAAAATGTAATATTTTTAAAAATTTTCCCTTTGTCAAAGTATATGTATATACTATTCCAAAGTATATTCGCGAAATGAATATTCATTAGCCTCTCACTCTTGCGACAGTAGGAAATAGGTGAGGTAGAAAAGAGTACTTGAAATAATTAATCGGTGCGTACGTATGTAAACTCACGCTTTGGTGTTTTTTTTTCCTCTTTTTAATATACAGACATTCGCATATTTACGCAGGAGCCGTAAAAATTCGTATATTTGCATATAGTATAAAAGATTTCATATTTTTACGTTTCCATATTTAAAAATTAAATGTAATAAAATCATAATTAAATGAAAATGTTTAATATTTTTTTATTATAACTAAATTTTATATAGAATATAATATAAATTATAGTAAAATTTTTACCTCTTGATTCAAGAAATGCGTTGGAAAAATAAGGAATGATGAAGATAAGATATAAAACAATGTCCCATTTCATCTTCGTTATTCCCTAATAATCATGAATAGAAATATCCTTGTAGATTCTCTCACTTGTCCTCCAATTTTCTCTTCTCGTTACCCTTCATATTTTTGTCCTTCTTTTTTGCTTCCCTCGCATCTCTCTATATGTAGGGAAAAAACAACCCTTCCTATATATATATATTGCGGATGCAAAGCAAGAAGGTTGTGCCGACGTGTCGCGAGAGTTAGGAGGGTGCTTATCACCTGGTAGATAACACCTGCAAAACAAACAGAAACCTAGGTAAACAGAAGCAATAACACTTTCGTATAATTAACCATGCTCGTAATCTCAAAATGTCAGGAAATGCGATTTTCCCGCTTCAAAGAATAATCTCGGTATTTCTCTTACTTGCGCAAAATTATATATATATAGTTGAGCTATTAGAGCATAATGAATAATAGTCATCTTTTGTTTTTAAATGAAATTTAATATTTTATTAATATTTAACTCTCTCTGAAGAGAGAAACAAACATCTATATAATTTTTTATCCCTTTCTTCAGCGAGCGCATCACATATTACACCGCGTTCGACAAAACTTAACTTTTTTTTGACACACAAAAAAAATTAAACATTTTCAGAAACTACATTGCAAAAAAAAATTATTTAATTCAAATACACCGGTATTTGAATCAAATAAATTTTTTTTTCAGTGTAGGACCCAAAAAAATACCGTGTCTAGCCGTTTTGCCACAGAAAAAACGCTGGATAAATTTTGCGTTGCGGATAATTTTAACCAATGCTAATTTACATAAACAGTGGCAAATAAAATTTGTTGCAGTTAATTTTTATACCGATTTTGGGGTAAAAATTCTACATTTTTTAGTGTGTGCTAGATCAAGTCGTTTGTGGTTTTTAGGGGTAAAAACAACTCCTAAATGAAAAGTAACAATCACAGAAAATTAAAAGGCATTAAAATAAGCTGCATCGCTTATTATTTTAATCCAATTTTGCTTATTTTAATACCAAAATGGATTAAAATAAGAAAACTTGGATTAAAATAATAAGCATTGCAGCTTATTTTAATGCCTTTTAATTTTCTGTAAAGATATTTTTTAAAAATTATTAATATTTTATAAAACTTGGTATCTAGGGGATTTTGGGGTCGCTAATGGTGAATCTGATGTCAAATTTTCATAATTTAAAATGGCGGATATAAAATAAAAAATTAATAACTTTTTAATATTTTGACCGCCATATTGGATCCGCCATTTTGAAAATCTGATATCTTGTCACTTTTCATTTAGGGGTTGTTTTTACCCTCAAAAAACCACAAACGACTTTTACCAACCAAACGGCCAGACACGGGTATTTTTTTTGTGTCCCAATTTCTCAAAAATGTTGAATTTTTTTGTGAGTCAAAAATCATGTCGGACGGTATTATATTCGCAATTGAGTCGCCGGAAAGTAAAACCACACATAAAATTCTGATGGCCATGTTAATTCAATGGGAGTCAGAATTTTATGTGTGGTTTTACTTTCCGGCGACTCAATTATTATTATTCTTATCAATTTCACAAAATTATTAATTATTTTATTTTTCCAGGCTAATACCAAAAGAATTATACAATCAAGAGATAAATGACATTGGCAGAGAAGCGCAGCCATCGGGAATGTAATCATAAACGGTGAGTCATTTTTTACTCAATAAAACTATATAAATTTTTACCGCAAATTCTCCAATACTAAAATTTTTGTAGTTAATTCAAAAAAAAAAAAAAAAAAAAATGTCGGAAGGCTTTTTTTTAATATAAAAACTATTCAAAAGAGGATATATATCCTAAAAATATATAAAATAAATATAAAAAAAAGTGCTAAAGTATATATCTTAATAAAAGAATATAACAAATCCCCACTAAAGAGAATAATATTTTTTACTTAATAGACTCTATAAATTTTGCGAAATCCGCATATGAAAAATAGGTATGGGCACATATGTGAAGATAACCCAAGGTTTTTTTTTCACATTTATTTAATATAAATGCATTGAACATAATTTCTTATATGAAAAAAAAATTTGTTAAATACAATATCGTAAGATGGATAAACAATAAAATGTCATTATTGTAAAATGATTATAATTTCTTTTGGAAAATGCATTTCCATTTAAGGTATCACATCGGCACTAATCGGAGTCAAAAGTTTGTACCTCGCATTACTACTTCCCGCACTATACTTTCGCCCTCAACTCCCTATACTCTCAGCCCATACTGTACCTACTTCTACAAATGCACTCGTACACGTATACCTCACACTAGCAGCGATTGGAAGGAGTAGGAGGTTTGACAACGTCGCTATAAGTCTCGCTTTGACTACTGTGGACTACTGTCTCTCTCTAACTAATGTTACCATCCTGCGATGTTGCCACATCAAAATGGCGGGTGTGCTATATATTGCAAATGACGTTATGAAATAGAATTTTTAATTTATAATTACAAATAAACGGCACGGTAAATTATAAATTTTTTTGTATATTTTAGTTCCAAATTTATTCGTGAATTCAACATTAGTTTTTGAAAAAAATTTATAGAAAACTTCTGATGATATTTATGAAAATGTACTTCTCCCCCATACATTAGTCCCGTCTCCCATGCAAAATAAGCAACTTTGATTGCTAATATCTCTGGTTTCGTACGGCGAAAATTCTTCATATTTTGCAAATTTGTCAAGAATGATAATAAGAACATATGGTAAAATTTTCAAGAAAATCTATAGAAAACGGGTTTACCGATGTGATACCTTAAAAACGTGAAAAGTTCTGCTATATATGTATATATATATATAAAATAAATGAGCTTGCAAAGTACGTTAGATTGAAAAGTTTTGGGGTCTATTGTCAAACGATTGCTTTTGGTTTGGATTTATCGTTGTATCTGAAAAGAGCATTTATTCCTGAGGGAGAATATATATATGTATATGTATAAAAAAAAGCTTGCCAGACTATAAAGAAACTTAAAAAACTTGAGTTCAATTTGAGTATATAGTATTCGTTGTACTCATTTTGAAGCGCAACAAAAATATGGTGTTATTACAAAGTGAAAAGAAAATTTATTTCATTCAAATAGTTACTTTACATTTGTCTAATAAATATTTACTTTTGAACCAAATAATATATTTATTTGAATGAAATAAACTGTATTTAAAACAAATACTATTTATAATTGGTCTGAATAATAATAATTTATAAACAAATATTTATTTCATACAAATAAATATATATTTAATATAAATAAATATTTATTCAATACAATTTATTTGCTAATAGTCAAGTATCCGATTATTTGAATCGAATAAATTTTTTTCCACTGCATATATATATGCGTCTTGATAAGCAAAAACAAGTCTCGTTTTTTAGATAAATCAATTATGATTACATATAATAAAATTTCATTTAAATATTTAATTTATAAACATTGCATATATATAAATGCAATTTGTTTATCGTCTTTTAAATTCTTTTTATATAAAGTTTCCAGTTAACAAAACTTTATAAAAACTTAACACTTCCTTGGCACAAAAAAGTATATACAAAAAAAAAAAAAATCTATCAAATCGTGACCTGTTTTTCTAAAAGTTTGTATCAACAACTTTTGTATTTTTATCCTCCGACGAGATTATGAAAGGATTATTAGCTCACATTTTTTATGTATATATATAGTTGAATATTATAAAAGTGTTAAACAAAAGTTTTTGGAACTAAATGTAATGAAAAATTCATAAAGATCGATGTATTAATGAATAGGTGCACTGAAAAAAAATTCTAGTTATATTTAACATTTTGATTCTGGTTAGGTTAACCAGAATTCTGGTTATTTTAACGAGAATTCTAGTTAATTCAACTAGAATTCTGGTTAACATAACTAGAAAGTAATGTTAAATATAGCCTAACCAGAATTTTTTTTTCAGTGTGTATTATAATGTTCAACAAATATCTTAATTAGTCTAAATTTAAAATTTTTAAGTGACTTCACAATAAATGAGTATGGGTATTTTTTTTTTTTTATATATAGAGATATTCCTATTAGCGGTGAATCATGAGTATTGGGTGCGAGAAATGAAGTCGTGTAAAAGCACTTAACAAATTGCTTAAAATAACCAGATCCACAAGAAGCTTTCCCCCCTTTCCTCTCTGTCTCTTTTATAAACCACATTATTTCTTTAATAAAATTCTAATTATCTATAAAATATAATCTACAATTATATAGAAAATTATAGTGATATATTTTTTTTATCTTCTTTTAAATTTGTTTGATCTCTGTTGACAATTTTATTTATTCTCTTTTTTTTTGTCGTTACATCCCCTATATTTCTTTCTTTTCGTAAAACTGCTTTGTCACTTGAAATATCCTCTCTAATTGTTTTCTGCTTTTCCGGATCGTTAAGTTTCTTTTTTTTTTTTTTTTTTTTTTTTTTTGCGTATATTAGTGCGCGAGGATTTTTCCGGTCTTAAATCCATGGCTTTCCACTGAAAGATGGCTTAAAAAGAAGCTCTCTTATAAGCCAGTGGAATAATGCGCTCAAAGAGGCTCGGCTCCTAATCACTATAAAAGAGCCGAAGAGAGACGGTATTACCAAAATGAATAATAGAGAATAATTCATTCCTGCGAGTATTTACAAGATCTTTCATTTCATTCAATGATCACCGATACAAGTATAATAATATACTAATTGATATTTCAGAAGGAAAATAATAATTTAAAAAAAAATCATAATCTTTTTTTAAAAAAATACGATTTTATTGATTTAAATCTGATTATTTTCATTTAAATCAAATTTATTCCGATTTTTACATTATATTTAAAACTTTTCAAAAGTTCATTTTTTAATAAATATTTAAAAAATTTCTTATTACAAGTAATAAGTTTACGTTTTACTTTGAAAGTACATATATGTAGAAGTTGTACCTAATATATTTTTTTTGTGCAATAGATTAAAAGATGAATTTTTAATCTTTAAAATATATTCACAATATAATAATTTACATCCAAATATAATGAATGAATTTTTTTTTGTGCACGGAAAAAAAGAAAAAGTAATTTTTACTACTTTCATAGTAAAACGGGAACTGTCCGAAGTTTCTGCGCATCTTTGGCAACTTTTACTCCAAAAAATAGTAAAATTTACTCCAGAAATAGTAAAAACTACTACGGAAAAGTAAAATTTACTATACAAAAATTGTAAATTTTACTATATTTTTTGAGTAAAAGTTGCCAGAGATACGCAGAAACTTCTGACAGTTCCCGTTTTACTATACTCTCTAAATCTGAATTAGTAAAAATGTTTACTAATTTAAATTAGTGACTCACTTTTTGCTTTAGAATTAGTTAAATTTTACTAATTATTAGTAACTTTTACTAACAATTAGTAAAATTTAACTAATTCTAAAGCAAAAAGTGAGTCACTAATTTAAATTAGTGAACATTTTTACTAATTCAGATTTAGTGAGTACACACTAAAAAATAATACTTACTTTCAGTTGACTTTTGACTAAAACCGTTAACATTAGAAACATTTTTACTGAATTTCAGCCTTGAGTGTATGATTTTAAGACCTAAAATTGACTTAATCTAGTTTTAAGATTAAAATTACACTAGTTTTAAGGCATTTTGATTTTAAGATCACAGAAAATTAAAAGGCATTAAAATAAGCTGCAACGCTTATTATTTTAATCCAATTTTGCTTATTTTAATCCATTTTGGTATTAAAATAAGTAAAATTGGATTAAAATAATAAGCGTTGCAGCTTATTTTAATGCCTTTCAATTTTCTGTGATGTTAATGGTTTCAGTATTTGTTTTTTGTGTGTATGAAAGTAGTAAAAATTACAATTTTCTTTTTTTGCGTGTGCATATATTTCTTCGTTATAGTTTTGGAGGTAAGATTTTAGTAACTGATAATTTCATCTGTAACTCTCGCGATTTCGCAAGCGTTAGGTTGTATAGCTTCAGGCGAAGGGGAATGTTTTCATAGGTATATACTATATATAAGAACATGGGGTTTGTAAGGGTTCAAACCCCAAATGCCCCCGGATATATGAAATCCAGGGACTTGTTTTTAATTGTTTTTATTCTTCACTTCTAGAGAAAAAAAAAAAAAAAACAAAAAAAGAGGAAGAAGGAAAATCACACAGAAAAAATTGTTGCTATGTAGTCTAGTCACATGTTAGTGGAAAAAGTTTTCCCTCTGTTTTAATGGGGCAAGTTTGTTTCTATACTATCAGAAAAGCAACAAAGGAAGCTTCTCAAAATCTCTGATAATTAAAACTTTAGTTATCGAATATTCGACATTAATATTAAGGAAATTTTTATAATTAAACTATATTTATAGAATTAATATTTATACTGAAAAAAAAACAAACTAAAATCACAATTTTTACAAAAAAGAAAAGAATTTCTATTCCGATTTGTTACATGAAAAGAATGCATTTTCCAAGCTCTTTTTTTCTCGCACTGTCCTTTAGGATATAACATATATATATATGTGAATGATTCTTCGCAGCTTTTGTGAGTTTTTCCTCTTCCTATTCTTTGTCTTCAAGAAAGGCCGACTACGACTAAACGACGCGATTCATTCTCGGTCATCTACCTTCTGGGGGGAATTACTTGGATTGGAAAGTAACGTCACTTGCTTTCGTATAGTGTAAAAAAAAAAGAAAAAAAAAAGGGGTGGAACTTGGTATATATTCAAGAAGTAAATCCAAAGGTATATAAATAGTGTGATGCGCTCAGTGTCTCTTCCTCAATTTAATCCACCGAATCTAGACCAAAGCATGAAAATAGGAATTTTTCTTTAGATAAATGAAAAAATGTATAAATTAAAAGAAAAAAAAAATTATATAATTCTGGAAATTATTTTTTGATGATCCATTAAATTAATAACAGTAATTTAAGATTTATTAATATTATAATATATATATATATATAAAAAATGTTATGTTCGTAATAGTTTCTTATATCGGAAAATGGAGGAAAATATATGACAAAAGCACCGACTATATATACCTAAGGATATCTATTTCATTGCATGAGAAAAAGAGAAGTATATCTAAGAATCACCGCAAATGGCTTCTATTGTGGTTGATTAAAGATAAATTAAAATCTCTGAGAATAAAGCAGTTGCTATCGATAAGAACAAGATGAAATTGAAACTATAATTACATTTCATATACAATATACATCTCTATTCTTTAATATATATATATAGGTTCTAGAATTTTTTTTATTATATATATATATTATATTTTTTGTTTGATAAAAAATATATAAATATATGAAGGGTAGAATGACAAAAGGGGTCAAGCGCCAATTCACTGTTTTTACAGGAAGTAAAAAAAACATTTTTAAAAATTTTGCAGGTCATTTAAAAAAAACTGAGAAAACCGTTTCGATATATTAATATGTTTTAATAAATAAACAACAATTTGTTGAAATAAACCTACATATTAACAATAAAATTAAAAAAAACTGTGGTTCCTTGAGGTTATATCAACTGCGCACATTTTCTCTAAACATTAATTATAAAAAAAATATACAGTTTAAAGAAAAACTGGAAAATTAGTTTCTTTCTATGGAATCAACGAAATGAATAGAAAAAAAAATTCCTTTAAAAAATTGTTTGTTTTCAAGAAAATTACGAATTAATTGCTTGCTTTGGAATTGAGCAATACTTTCATCTTTAAATTCAATTGTTCACTTAGTATAACCATAAAAATATTTAAAAATTAATAACAAAATGATTTTAAAATTGTTTAAAATTGAAAATACATTATTATTATTATTAATTTTATTAATTAAAATATTATTAAAATAAAATTAAAATAAAATATTAAAATAAAACCTAAAAAAATAATATTTTTTTTTTATTTTGATAATATTATTGACTCATCACTTTCTTTTGTTTTTCAATCAGGTTGCAATAAAGTAAATTTGAGGCTATTTTATTAATTTAATTTTTATGAAAAACTGATTTAAATACGCAATAAAAAAGGAAATCCTTCTACAGAAATGTGTAAATGAATTTTCTTGATTTTTTTATGCAAAAACCTCATTTTCGATAAATTGGCGCTTGACCCCTTTTGTCATTCTACCCTTCATATATGCTTCTATTTATTAAATTTATCATTTAAATATTTATTAAAAAGAACAAAAATAATTTTGAAATGAACTTTTGAAAAATAGTTAAAAATAAAAAGATTAATATAAAAAAAAAATCATATTTAAATCGAAAAAATTGGATATTTTTTTTTTTGATATTTAAAACACTCTGATTTTTATAACAATCAATTTATAGTATAAACAAAATTTTATATATAAAAATATAACAAGTAAATTATATACAATTACTTTTATAAATATATAATATTCAAAATAATTATTATTTAATATATTTAAACAAATATAGCTCATGCAAATTTAAAATTTTCATACTTTTATTACTTTATATAATTAGTATGATAGCTATCTATTTCCTATATGTAGAAATCTAATTACTATAATTGAACATTTGTCCATTCAATATATATGGTATTGATTTACTCGATAGAGTTCCTATGAACACCATATAATAGATCTTCATCGGTTTAAATTCGAAATTTCGCGATACAAAAGCGAGAGAGAAAGAGTACCTATGTGTCAGCGCCAATCTCGTCTATAAATAAAAATTTTTTAAAAATACTGATACATTTTCAAAATTAAATTGACGTATGAGTAAATTGATTTTTTTTAATTTTTATAAAAAATAAAAAAATTAAATTAAACTAAATCGGTTTTAGAAATTAAAAATCATATAAAGGTAAAAAAATTCCTCCTATATATAATCAATAAAATGCAATTGATATAAATTATTATTATTATTATTATTATTATTATTATTATTATTATTATTATAGTTCGGGTAAATATTTCAATAATCATTCCAATGAAATTTTGATTTTAAAAAATAGTAATGAATTAAAAAAAACCCACATACTTATCTGTAGTTGATTCAAAAAATTTTTACTAGTTTGAAATAATTTTTTTTGAATTAAAAAAATTAGTGTATTAAATAGATATTTTTTTTTTTTTTTTAATCAAATGCTACTTTCTTCGCAGTGTATTAATTGTTTTTCTAAGTGATTCTAATTAATAAAATATGCTGCAAAATACTTGGATTAAACAAATAATAATAATGATATTAACAGCAAATATATATACAATATGTGAAGGAATTCTTCTACATGTATGCAAAAAAGTTTTAAAATAAAAGTTTAAATTGTGACATTTTGTTATTTCAAGGAGTCTGCTTCGCGAAAGTAGAAGAAACCTTGTTTGGTCAGACAACTATGAAAAGATAACAAAATCATACTTGTACATTGCAAAATTAATTTTATTACTAAATTACATTATTTTTTTTTGAAATTATTAAAAATTGTTGCATTATTAGAATAATGTGTATTAAATATAATATATATATATATATATATATATATATATATATATATTCAATATCCAGTTAGAAAGTAGTATATAACATTTTATTTAATTAATTATACATTTTTATTAAATTTACTACATTTTATATTAAATTTAAAGTAAAATTTATGTTAAATTTAATAAAAATTAATATTTAATTTCAATACTGGTTTTTTGTATTTGCATTAAAAATATTAAATTTAATACTGATTTTTTCATGATGAAACAATTACATTTATGGAAATACAATTTTTTACCTTCACAGAAAATTATAAGGTATTAAAATAAGCTGCAACGCTTATTATTTTATTACATTTTTTCTTATTTTAATACCAAAATGGATTAAAATAAGCAAAATTGGATTAAAATAATAAGCGTTGCAGCTTATTTTAATGCCTTTTAATTTTCTGTGTTTATCTATACTGAAAAAATTATAATTATTTGATTCAAATAATCGAATACTTGGCTATTATCAAATAATATTTATTTGTATCTAATAATATTTATTTGAATCAAATAATTTTTATTTGAATCAAATAAACTGTATTTAAACCAATAATTTCTGTATTTGAATCAAATAATTTTTTTTTTCAGTGTATAACGTCCCAATCTGATTCCTTTTTAAATTTTTCTTTATAGATATTTTAAAAATTATATTCGGAAATACTTACCCCTTTCAGTTGGTTTGGACTAGTCCAGGATTTTATCTTGTGATAAATGGTCCATCAACAGTTGAATTCTTCATTATTCTAAGCACCATGATAACTATTATCAGAATAGACTTTTACAGAAACATTTCAAATAAACAAACTGCTAAAATAATAATCTTAAATCTTTCACTTGTGCTTTTTCCTTCAATTTTAAAATTAACCACATGGTTCAAAAAGTTAAATTAAAAATTATTGTATTTGAATTTTTATTTAAAGAACAAGGTTCATGTTTTTTTTTCTGTTTTGAAATATTTTATGAAGACATTAACAAAAAAAAAATGTAATTTTTAAATTTTAAAATTAAATTTTTTTTTTTGTTAGTACAGTATGATTGCAGTACACGTGTGTAATATACTTTTTATCGATAATTCACACGTGTCACGTGAGATTATTGGCCCTTATACACATATATATATATATGAACAATTTGACAAATCTCCACCGCATATGGCGCGTCGCGCACTACTGAAAACAGTGAATGTTTCCACCATCCTCTCTTCTGATTTTCTCCCACCATATCATCCACACAGCATCCATCGTCTCGAATCGCCGATCTTTGAAATACGCAAGTCTATAGTAATATAGGGTGATTATAGATTCCCCCTCCAATTTTTTTTTTCAAATTTGATATAAAAAAAATTTGATGAAAATTTTTTTCATTTATTACTTTGATATTGAATTTGTTTTTGATAAGAAGAACCATTTTTTTTTTGGAATAAAATTGTAAGGTACTAAAATAAGATGCAATATGCTACTCTCTAAATCTGAATTAGTTAAAAAAAATAATAATTAAATAATATTAACAAATTAATAAATAATTATAATATTATAACATAATAATATAAAAAATGTTATAAAAATATTACAATAAGTATAATAAATTATTAATAAGTTAATAAATAATACATTTTTATTTTTTAATATTTGCATTTTAGAAAAACTGTTCTTTCTTTAAATATAATATAAAATTTTTTTTTAAATTTTGAAATGGAACTTTCAAGTTTTAAAAAATTTTCGAATTCAACGAAAATTTCTTCTAAAATATCCGTAAAAAAAAAATCTTGGAAAACTTGTATGTGGTGTATTCATATAGTTATGCGGCCAGGTGAACGTATTATATACCTACAGGTATCCAAAAGTCCTTCAAGTCAAAGCGATAAATAACTGACTGTATACATTCAACCGCAAAAATAGGGAGGAGTTCGAGTGGTACTTTTGTCATGATATTGAATGAAAGAGAATATATATATATATATAATAAAAGAAAAAAAATTCTCGAGAATGAATGTTTTTCAAAAAAAAAAAAAAGAGAAGATTCATGTTGACAATAAGAATAGATGCAGATAATCGTTTCAATTCAATTCGATTTGAAGGAGGAAGTCTATAAAGAAAGATCATAAATATATTGGAAAATTCAAGAGGTTAATTGATAAAACTCGACTTATGATATGGTTCGTTAAGTTTCGGCTTTTATATCAAAACAGAAAAATGTTTGATGTCGCTATAATTCAAAAGCTAGATATTTTTATTCATCAAGAGGATATTGTATAATATATTATGAGCGCAGATAAATTCTTGTCGGTTTTCCAAGAGATGAGAGAAACAACGGCAATGCATCATCGCATATTCCGTTTGCTTACTGTATATTTAATATATATATATATATTAATTTAAGCATTGTTTATTTTTTGAATTATTTACTGTACTTGTTCAAAAATTTAAATAGGCACCTATCAGATGAACCAAATTCGAGATAATTATACACTGAAAAATATTTATTTCGTGCAAATAATCTATTGCTATGAGCAAATAATTTTTATTTCGTAAATCAACCGATTATTGGAATCAAATAATTTTTCTTTCAGTGTATATGAAACTTAATTTTTTTTTGTTAGCAATAGTACACTGAAAAAAAAATTTATTTGATTTAAATACACTGTTAAAAATCGGGCTTCAACTTTACACTATAAAAAGATTGAAATAATATATTTTCAATCCGAAAAGGGTAAATGTTTGCATGTCATTGGTTGGACAAAAAACTTTAAGCCAATGAAATAAAAACATTCGCACTTGTCGAGATTGAAAATATATAATTTCAATCTTTTTAGTGTAAAGTTGAAGCTTGATTTTTAACAGTGTACCGGTGTATTTGGTTATTATCAAATAAATATTTACTTGAATCAAATATTTCTTATTTGAATCAAATATTTCTTATTTGAATCAAATAAATTTTTTTTTTCAGTGTAAAATTTCAATTGAAACATGTAAATTTTAATTGGACGCATATATATATATACAATTTGTTACGTGTATAAATTTCCTGCGACTGACCTATCTTTATCACAGTGGCACTTGTCTCATACCATGTTGGTTGTAATAGCAACATGGCTTCATCCTATGGGAGCAGTTGACTATACACCAAGTTTCCTTCAAGTTCAGATATAGCTACTCTTTGTCTTTTCGGTTGAGTCCGATAGGGGAGTATAAGTCTCTACGACAAGGAGCTCTTCTGATGTCACTACCTTCCCTTGCGAACGACTAACAAACAACTTGTCATAAGTCAGCTTATAATAATGACTCTTACAGTCACTGTAAATTATTTCCCTAATGCTCATCTTTAAAAAAAATATCAAAAAAAGGAACAAAATTAACTTTTTATTATAGACTAATAAAAGAGATAATAAAACCACGTACATTATATTTTTAGTTTGTATATTATATAGCTAATAATTCTATGTCACAGCAAAAACTAATTATTAGCTGTAACAATATAATTGCTAACCATATAATAACAATTACGGATTTAGCTAAAGTCGTTAAATATATTATAACATTTTTTCTCCTATTTTTTTCAATGCTTTTTAATATTTATAATTCAGTAATGCACTTCATCTCTATTTAAATAGTTTTTGTCTTCATTTGCTTGTATAGATTTGATATAATTCCATTTTGTATAAAGCCAAGGGTCTTAATACAACTTGAGTTATATATCACAATTTAAATTTAAAGCTTTTAAGCTTCGTGAAGTTACCGTACGTGATTTAAGTTTCTACGCGACTATATAAAGAGGTAATATATATTACTAGATTGTTTCTAGATTGATTTCTATTTAAATACAAATAGACCTAGAAATTGTTAACAAAAATTAACAAGATTTTAACAATTTAATGTCTAAACTTTAAAATGTGGCTCATATATATATAATTCGTTTTAAGAAGAGTGTCGCATCGACGAAAAGAGCTATAAATCACGACTCTGGCGAATCAGAAGTTGTAACAGAAGGGTATATCTGTCTCATTTATCACGTGCGAATTGCGAACCTTCTGTCAAGTTTGCAACAACCTCTAAAATTTATTGCAAATTAATTCTTTTTTTCACTTTCTAATTATTTTTTCCTTCTATCATTTTTTTTAAAATTATATTCTAATTATACTAAAATGTTAAGACATAAGAAGTAAAACATTTATATAAGTTATATGTTTATGATGGCTTTAACAAGCAAAAAAACAATATTAGTTGGTTATGTTTATGATAGTTTTATAATTATCTTCAGAGTAAGGTACTTTAGAGAGAAGGATAGAATATTTATATATATGTAGATGGTTAAAAAATTAACAAGATAGTAAAAAAAAAAAATTTGAAAAATAAAAACAAAAAATTATCGACCTAGAAATCTACCTTATCGACTGTTGGTGAAACAGTTTTTAAAATGGAAATATAACAAATTACCGAGACAGAAATCTACTTTACCGACTGATGGTAAAACGTTTTTAAATTAAAAAAAATTACCAACACAGAAATCTACCCTACCGACTGATGGCAAAACAGTTTTTTAAAAATGAAAATATAAAAAAATTTCCGACATAGAAATCTGCCTTATCGACTGATGGTAAGGTAGATTTCTATGTCGGTAATTTTTTATATTTTCATTTTTCAAAAAAAACCTGTTTTACCATCAGTCGGTAAGGTAGATTTCTATGTCCGTAATTTTTATTTAAAAAACGTTTTACCATCAGTCGGTAAAGTAGATTCCTGTCTTGGTAATTTGTTATGTTTCCATTTTTCAAAAAAAAACTGTTTTACCATCAGTCGATAAGGTATATTTCTATGTAGGTAATTTTTATATTTTCATTTTTCCAAAAAAACTGTTTTACCATCAGTCGGTAAGGTAGATTTCTGTGTTGGTAATTTTTTATATTTTCATTTTCCAAAAAACCTGTTTTACCATCAGTCGGTAAGGTAGATTTCTATGTCCGTAATTTTTATTTAAAAAACGTTTTACCATCAGTCGGTAAAGTAGATTCCTGTCTTGGTAATTTGTTATGTTTCCATTTTTCAAAAAAACTGTTTTACCATCAGTCGATAAGGTATATTTCTATGTAGGTAATTTTTATATTTTCATTTTTCAAAAAAACCTGTTTTACCATCAGTCGGTAAGGTAGATTTCTGTGTTGGTAATTTTTATTTAAAAACGTTTTACCATCAGTCGGTAAAGTAGATTCCTGTCTTGGAAATTTGTTATGTTTCCATTTTTCAAAAAAAAACAACTATTTTACCATTAGTCGGTAAGGTAGATTTCTGTGTTGGTAATTTTTTATATTTTCATTTTCCAAAAAACCTGTTTTACCATCAGTCGGTAAGGTAGATTTCTATGTCCGTAATTTTTCATTTTTAAAAAACTGTTTTACCATGAGTCGATAATGTAGATTTCTATGTAGGTAATTTTTATATTTTCATTTTTCAAAAAAAAACTGTATTACCATTAGTCGGTAAGATAGATTTCTATGTCGGTAATTTTTTATATTTTCATTTTTCAAAAAAAAACCTTTTTTACCATCAGTCGGTAAGGTAGATTTCTATGTCCGTAATTTTTCATTTTAAAAAACTGTTTTACCATTAGTCGATAAGGTAGATATCTATGTAGGTAGTTTTTATATTTTCATTTTTCCAAAAAAAACTGTTTTACCATTAGTCGGTAAGGTAGATTTCTATGTCGATAATCTTTATATTTTCATCTTAAAAAAAATTTTATCAGTTGGTTAGGTGAAATAACCGTAATCATCGCGTAGCGCTCGCAAATGAAATTTGATTTTACAATCGCGCGTTACAATGAAAAAGTATTTATTTATTTATTATAATATTGATAAAATTATAAGAGAATTATTTTTATTATTTTTATTACTTGGTAAAAACTGCTATTTTAAAAAATTAAACTTAATTGAATAAAGTGTGTATATGTGTGTTTTACTGTATAATTTTAAATCCAAGAGTAGTTGAGTAAAAGATTTTTATAAATCAAGAAAGTAAGAACGATAAGTTTTCACAAATCGACGATTAATTTTCACCAAATGGCATTGAAAGCACGTAGTATAATGCTGTGCGACTTAGAAGAAATGGGTTTTTGGCTTTGTCGAAGCTTTGGAAAAGAAAAGCAATAAATTTGCCACACACAGCAAATCGGACCACGATGCAAAACCGTGTTTGGCAAGTGCAATAAAAGTACCATTTGGTGCAGCAGACACAGTGAAAGAGAAAGAGAGAGAGAGGGAAAGTGCTCACCTACCCCTTAGGACTTGTGCGTGCCCCGAATATAATTTATTGCAGTTGAAATTTTCTAGAGGGGTGTCCCATAGCTGGTGTTATATATATAGGTAACAACCCTTAAGTTTTGATCGTCCCTTACGTGCACTTTGAAGGCCACAACAGTCATTTCTTTGTTTCTATAACGGTCCTTTATGTTTTTTAACCTTCTTTATTGATAAATAGTATCAAGTTTTATAAATGTTAATTGAATTTATATTAATTTAATGTGTCTTAATATAGTATTTATTATGTTTATTCAATGAATGGCTAAATTAAATTTTAAAGGATTCGCAAAAACCCTCTGTATAGAAAGGGACTTAAGAAGCAAAAAAAAATTATAGGTTATGTTTAAAGTATATCATAGACATAACCTATAATTTTTTACCTCATAGGTCCTTTTTTTCAGAGCTCGTCACATATATCAATTATTATTCTTATTGATTCCACAAAATTATTAAATATTTTATTTTTCCAGGCCAAAAGAAGAAGAAGAAGACCAGAAGAATTATATATATATACAATCAAGAGATAAATGACGTTGGCAGAGGTGCAATATCATCAGGAATGTAACCAAACGGTGAGTCTTTTTTTTTACTCAAAATAATTTTACTCGAAAATTTTTACCGCAAATTAAATTTTCTGTATAGTTAATTTAAAAAAAAATGTTTAAAAGTATTTTTTATCATAAAAACTCTTTAAAAGAGGAAATATTTCCTTTTTTTTGTTTACAATTGTTATCCATTGTTTAAAAAAAATGAAAAATTGTGAAATTGATTATTTAATGAAGATTCAGTTTCTGCTAATAAATAAAAAAAAAAAGAAAAAATATCGTCCATCTGTCCAGGGTGGTAATGGATGGTCCATCATCATCAGGGGGGTGAATTGCAGCTGCAGTACATGATGCTATTCTTTGGTCCCTATACATTGAACTATGACACCTAATGATCGCTTGTTGTAGTGGCTGCTGATGACTTTTTGAAAGTCTGTTCGTTACATAGTATCTAATCTGACTTATTATAGAGATATAGCAATATGGACAATATGCGCAATTTTTCATTTTATCAATGTGATTATGCTATTATAATTTTCAAAAGATATATATCGATACCTAAATTTTTTTACAGAAACTGCGTCACGATAGCTAAATCGAATTTCTTTTTTTTTTTTTGAATAAAAAAAAATAATTTACATAAAAAATAAAATTTTTTTTTTTTTAAATTTATTTAAAAAATAAAAAATTTTTTTTTTTTATTTAAAAAATAAAAACAAAGAATAATTAAATAATGTTAACTATAATAATAACAAAGCTTTCATGAGTAATCAAAAATTTATATATATTCAGACAGATGTGACAAACATATATCCAAATTTATGATTGCTACCAGATGTCACTTAATATCCATGAAATTATTTTCTGGACTTCAAAAATATTCATATGTTTGTTTTATTTGTTGTATATATCTGGCAGATGAATCAAATTATATTTGGTTTTGATTATTTTTTTTAAATAGCCAAAAAAAAAGACTGTAATATAGCATCAAAAATCATTGAATATTTCATAAAAATTCAAACTCCTATTATTGGAATATTTTTTAAAAAATTTATATAAATATATATATATATATATATATACATTTTTTATAATATATTCACAATGTATATATCGGAGCGCAGGTGAACTATCATGTTTTTGCCGGACTGTCTTCTTTCCATCATCACACGTTCAAATCCTTTAAGATCCTTCCTCGTTTTTTTTTTCGGGGAACATTTATATCCCACGTGCGGAAATCGCGTCGCAGTTTGAAGTGTTCCAATAATTCGGATCTCGTATTTCGTCGAAAACATCCTCTCGCGTATATATATATATATATATATATTCTCCTCTGAACGTGACTTGTTTGTATATATGTTGTTTCCAAATAGGGGAAACCGCTTATGGTTTCTCAGATCTCTCTCGAAGAAGTCCAAAAAGAAAAAAAAACTCAGTTGCAAATATAATATTCCTTTTAAAACCATATTTTTGTACTTATATTATATACATGTCTTCGAATTTATTCTAGTAATTAACATTTCTAATTTAACTACACGTTATCCGCGATTCATTGTTTGTCCTCTTATCAGAAAATTGATCTTTTATATGTATGTGCAACGATGCATTTTATTTTGAAGACAATAGTACCTTTTTATTTATATTATATGTCGAGTTGTATATTCTAAAATGATTTTACATGTTTTGTGAAAATGAATTAAAATTTTTTTTGGTTTATAATTTAAAAAAAAAAAAATTACTACAGCAATGCAAAATAAAAAAAAGTACATTAAACAATTAATAAATTATTAATTTACTTTTAGATACATTACACGGAAAAAAAGAAAAAGTAATTTTTACTACTTTCATAGTAAAACGGTCCGAAGTTTCTGCACATCTCTGGCAACTTTTACTCCAAAAATAGTAAAATTTACTATTTTTGTAGTAAATTTTACTGTTCCGTAGTAATTTTTACTATTTCTGGAGTAAACTTTACTATTTTTGGAGTAAATTTTACTGTTTCGTAGTAATTTTTACTATTTCTGGAGTAAACTTTACTATTTTTGGAGTAAATTTTACTGTTCCGTAGTAATTTTTACTATTTCTGGAATAAACTTTACTATTTTTGGAGTAAAAGTTGCCAGAAATGCGCAGAAACTTCTGACAGTTCCCGTTTTACTATGAAAATAGTAAAAATTACTTTTTCTTTTTTTCCGTGTAAGTAATTGAAAAAAATTTTTTTGATTCAAATAATTGATTTACTGTTATTAAATAAATATTTATTTAAACGAGATAATTTTTATTTGAAACAATAATTTCTATGTTTGAACTAATAATTTTTCTATTTTGAAACAAGTATCATTGACTCAAATATAATTAATAAATATTTATTTGATAATAATCAAGTAACCGATTATTTGAATGGAATTTTTTTTTTTCAGTGTAATATGAAATATGATGTTAAAAAAGTAGTAAACAAATTTTTTGTTCAGGAACTTCAGACACACATGATTTGAGGTAATTTTTTTTTTTATTTTTTTTTTTGTCAGAAAATTTTCATCATGTTGAAACAAGATTGATTCGTCGATTTTTTGCACGAGTGAGAATATGAGGGCACAAGATGTTTCGTGAGAAATGACTATTTTGGAATTAGTTCAGAAATCAGGATATATAAAGAATCGTGTGTGCGTGTTTGGTGAAAAATGAGGACCCTTATGGTCCCTTTATTAAGTATATAGTCTTGACGTCTTGAAGAAGGCAGAGGGCAAAACACCCTCTCTTTCTCTTGTGCGCGATATCCAGATTGAAGGGATCCTATATAGTATAACTTTCATAACACCATTTGTCTTTGTGCGCGCAGGGGAATCCAAAAATTTCGCAAAATCCACATCCACCCACCGCATATGTATCATTCCGTTAAATTCCCACAGAAAAAAAAAAGTTTTATATCATACTTTTTTTTATTTTTTTTTATTTAAATAATATTATTTATTTTGCCCGGGGAAAAAAAAAGATTTACCTTGAACAGCGAAAGCTTTCACTAGAATAGCAAACACATAAAATTATAAGGTATTAAAATAAGCTGCAACGCTTATTATTTTAATCCAATTTTGCTTATTTTAATAAATTTTGTTATTAAAATAAGCAAAATTGGATTAAAATAATAACCGTTGCAGCTTATTTTAATGCCTTTTAATTTTCTGTGAAAGTTTTAGTTATAAGTTCACTATATATTTTAGTGAAACCTATTTTGCTGTTGAAGTTTTTTTTCCGAGTGTATTTTAGTCTACTAGAAATTCAATGACATCTAATTGTTGTGAATTGAACATGTTACTATTGCTAACACGTTTTCTCCTGGGATGTACATAGTTTAACATGTACGATCGTTCAATTAAATATATACATATAGTTTCACCAACAATGCATATGTGCCAATTAAATTTATGTAGGAAAAAATATTTTTTTTTATATATTTGTCGCACGTTTTATGTGGTTTCTCTAAAAAAATTTAAAATTAACCTTCACTTATTGATGAAAATAATCGATTGACTGACAAATGTACCATGAAATTTTAGGGTATGAGCCATATGAGCTTGATGATATCGTGTAAGTTGTGAGAAGGGTGTGCGTGCTTGATGCTTTTTCCCACCTGGACATGCCAGATATAACATAAATACTGCTCCACTGAAGCTCAAGTAATAAAATATTTCAAGATTTTTAAACATTAAGAAATGTTACATTAAATTTTATTGCCACAGGAAAAAAAAAAGTATACATCATTTTCAATTTGATTTATTTCTCAGTTTGTGGAAAATTATCAGCTCGTTAAATTTTATTTTATTTTTGTTGAATTTAGTGAGATTTTTTTATTATTAATATTAAATTTAATAAACGGGAGAAATTTTCAAAAAACTGAATTTTAAAATTAAATTTTCTCATCCATTTTTGACAATCTGCGTACGCTATAAAATAATATGGTAATCGCGCATCTAATAATGAAAGCGGGCCTAAAGTTTTCAGAGTGGGTATATATCTCCTATCTTAAATCCTTATATTCAAAATAGTCATTATTAACAGGACTTGTGAAAGTCAGGGGTTGTTACAAAAAAAAAAAGCTTATAAGGATTTGAAAAATAAGTTATCTTGTTTCAAATTCTCTAATTTTAAAATTCAAAACATGAAACTGATAGTAAAATTTTTTACAATTTTATGATATGTAATTTCAATTAATTTTAATATTTCTTTTTTTTTTTTTAGAAAATGTATTCTAGTATCTCCAACCGGAATTTTATTAATTTTTTTTTTTTTAATTACAAACTCAGAAAAGCGCATAAATCACTACATTTGTATAATTAGGAATTTTTTGTAAAACTTTTAAGAACAATTTATCAAAAAAATACAAAAACTTTAAAATAACGTATGTCTTTATATAAGTTTTTAAGAGCTTTCAGAAAGTCCTGAGGCGTATTAATTGCAATCTCACAAGTTGTCAGGGGAATAGAAAGTGCCCCTATAAATTCTTGCTAATCTGATTTCAGAATCGGCGACCTCTTCTTCTCTTTGAATCGAAACAGAAAAGAAAAATTTTTTTCGATTTTCGCAGACAAAACTAACTTTTTCTTTTTTTAAATATATCTATATAATAAAGTATACTTAGAAGTTTATATATAAAAATTAAATATTTTTATAAAAAGAATCTTCATTTTTGTTTTTTGTATTAAACAAAATTATTATTATTTTTTTAGAAAATTTAAATATTGAATAGTTTTAGTGTAATATTTTATTTATTTATTTCAATTTAAATCATTTATTGTTAGAGCGATGATAACAAAAACTTTGTATCCCCATATAATAGTTAATTTAGCTATAAAATACTGCCTGAGGCTCCTCCCCTAACGTTATCGGTTCTATTTGGTCCACCCTGTCGTTTCCTATCAGTAAAAGCACTTTCACACTTTCTTATATAATAGAGTTAATAAAACGAATCACAACCCATACAAAAGCATTTATTTTTCATCATATTTCATTATTATTATTATTATTATTATTTTTGAAACAGTAGTTTCAGTTTTTTGAATTAACAGTATAGAAAAAATTTTCAAATAAATAAAATTAAATTTATCTTGAAAGTACTTTTTTTTCTCTTTTAGTATTTTGAAAAATTATTTGATATAAATTTGGATTTGGAATATTACGAGATTTGAGCAAGAAAGCCTAATCTAATAATTTTTCTTATTGGCAAGATTTTTTTTTGTCCCTTTTTCTATTCAATAAAATTTTTATCATCAATTTTTACTCTCCTATCAACTATATTCGTGCTTCCAATATAGATTTTAATAGATTAGAAAAATAGTTCTTTTTTACAATATTTTTTTTTTAATTTATTTTTTTTTTAAAAAGCTTTCTTTTTTAGTATCAAAAATTATTATAGAGAAATAGTTTCAAATATATACTATTTACCGGTTGAATAAATAAGAAAGTCCTTTTTTTTATTATAGCTTCTCAGTAACATTTCAAAGATTCTGATTTTATCGTTTGTGCGAGATCAAATTGAAGTCGTTTCTTCGAACGATATTGGAAGAAAGTGGTCCATCAATTTTGTCTCGAAACGAATAGGATTGTCGACATAAGTCAATTTCAATTTTAATAAAAACATTTTTAAAAAAACAGTTTTTATTTTCCATATTAATTAAATGAAAAATTGTTTCACATTTTTCTATTATATTAAAGAATTTTATTTTTTTAAAAAACAGTTTAAAATTTATACTGATAAGAAAAATGTTAATTCAAATTTTTTAATTTACTTTTTTATTTTCTTTGTTGCAGAAAATTCAATCAAAGTGAGTGTTTTCTCAACAATTTTTATCCGATAATTAGAATAATTAAAGGTACTATAAATTCAGGTAATTAAATCAAATTAAAATTGACAAAAAAATTTCAAATTCCAAAAACAAGTTAAACCAAATGCGGTAAATTTGAAATTATATTATTATCAGTTCGAAAAAAAATAACAATTTAAATATAAAAATTTAATTTTTTTTTTTATTATTTTTACTCTTTTTGGTGAATATTACAAAATGATTTTATCAAAATTAATAAAAAAAAAAAAATTACGTATTTTCTCCTCGATCGGCCAGTTTTTCAAGATTGGTCTTCAAGTGTGACACTTGACGTTCTAATTTCACTATTTTCTAAAAATTTTAAAGACGAAAATTATATTCAACTCAAATTACCGTTTAATTTGATCATATAAAAGAAAAGAAAAATTATAAGAATTTTACTGAAATTTCACATTTTTAAATTACAATTAAATTTAAAAAAAAAGAATTTTTTAAATGTTTGTAATTTTATTATTGATAATATAAATTTTATTATAATAATTTAAAATATTATTATTAATTTTAATTATATTACTATCGATGTCTTAATAATTTTACAAATTTTTGTACCCTGAGATAATTTTGCATATGATTATCAGCTGAAACATCAACGGCTGTCAAAAGAGCTTTGTATCTTTTTTCCAACACATCGACAATTGAATCTAATTCATTTTGTTTCTCTGAATTTAAAGACACTGATAATTCACTTCGTTGTCCTTGTAATTGAATTTGTAGTGTTTTTATCTCCAATTCTTTATCCTTTTTAAATACAATTTAAAAAAACAAGCCTCCATTTAAAGCAAAAAAAAAAAACAAAACCAAAATTATTAATTTTTTAAGTAAAATTCAAACCTTTATAATTTGTGATACTTTTTTTGCAAGATGCTCTTTTGATTTTTCCAATTTGAAAATATTCTTTCTTAATGTTACAACTTCATTCATTAAATCTTCATTTTGTTTTTGCGATCTAAATTCAATATCATTTCTCATTTTTGCAAATTCATCTTTCATTGCTGTGTAATGCTTCACTAACATGTTTTGTAGTTTTCCTTCCTGAAACAAAGAAAAATTGTTTACTGCAATTAAAGTAATTTAAAAAAAAGAAATTAAACTTCTATTAAAAATGTAGGTATTGAAAGTAAATTAATTAAAATTACATCCTGAATTTTAATTTCTAATTTACTCTCCAGCTCTTTGATTTGATTAATTAAAGAAATGATTTCCTCTCGTTTCACAAGATCCTTTTGTGCAAGTTCCACTCCTTTTTGATTAATTATTTCGTCCTTGTATTGAAGTTCTTTGCCTTTTTGTTGTAAAATTATCTCATAATCTTTATGAATGACTTCACATTTCTTGGACCATTCTTTTTCGATTATTCTTGCCTGTTCTTCCTGTAATAAAATAAAAACATTTTTTTTGTATTACGAATTAATAATAAACAATTAGAAATTATATACAATCAATAATGAGAGATAATGAACATTTTTTTTGCATTTTTTAAGAAAAATTTCCAAAACCTTCTCTCTTATGACTTCTTCTATTTTTTGAGTTAGGGAAAATAAATTTTCTTCCAAATCCACATTTTTATCTTGTGCCTCTTCTAATCGAGTTTTTAATTTATTAAACTGATTACTCATTGTTTCTTGATACTGTTGAACAGTTATTCGATGATTTTCTTCCAAAACATTTTTCATTTGTTGTACTTCTTTAAGCCTGAAATAAATTTATAGTTTCTATTTTAAAATACATTAATAAAATATTCCTCTTAAAATTAAAAAATCTAACATATAATTTTTTTTTTAAATTTTTGTAAGTAAATTAAAATTGAAACTGACTTAGTTTTTAGCGTTGATATTTCTTCAGTCATGTGTTTAATTTTAATACGCAAGGGTGATTCAGAAGTGGAAATTTTTTCTTGACATTGAAACAATTCATTGTCAAGTTTTTCATTTTGAATTTGTAATTCTTGTACTATGTCAGTTAAGGCTTCAATTTTTTGTCTATAAAATTGCAGTTGATCTTTATTCACTTGTTCATCATTGAGAAAATAAAACGAAGCATCACTTGTTGTATCTGTTTCACATTTTTTTAATGAAGCTTTACTTTTCGAAAATTTTGAACGAGTTTTTTTGAAATTTGGTTGAATTTTTAAATAATATGAAGCAGAACTTGAATCCGTAATGTCCGTTAGAGATGAAGTCGAATTGAACTGAAAATAGAGGAATCAAATAATTATAAAAATATTAATTATTAATTAAATAAGTAATTTTTATTTACCTCTCGATAATGAATTGGTAATGGAATTAAATCTCCATTTGGAGGTGGTGTTCGAAAAATACTTTTAATTTGTCCAAAACTAAGTTGACGATAAAGCTCCAATAAATATGTATTTCTAATATGTCGTTGTTCGGAAATTGAATTTAATTTCTCGAGCCATACTTTACAGAGTTGTGCATCTTTTTTTGATGTCAAATTAACAATATACGGTCGTACTTGTGATAAAATTTCTTTGAAATTTTCATCCAATTTCAAAGCCTCCTGTTCATCTCTTTCACGATTTTCTAACATTCCTTGTTGATCTTTACATTTGTTCATGACCCATTCATCACTTAATTTCTTTACTGTAAAATCTTTATTAATTAATTTTTCATATAAAATATTGATTTTATATTGAAATTTTATTATTTTATTTTTCAAACCTTTACTTTCAATTATATAAAATTGCTGAAAATTACCAAATATTATAACCAAACTAGTTGTTTACTTTTTAAGAAAACAAAAGAAACTGACAAAAAATTAATCTTTCTTTTCTATGAACGAAAAAAATTTTTCCCAAGGCTGAAATTTAAAAATAAAATCAAAACATATTTTTTCAAATTAGTGATAGAAATATATTTTTTTTTCTCAAGTCACATCTATCGAAAAAATACGAAAATAGTTTGCGTAATTCTACTTATAGACTATTTAAAGCTAGTTTTACATTTTTTTTTTAATACGAAAAATAAGAGACAGAGTAAAAAAAAATAAAAAGAAAACAAGAAGATTTGATATTGTAAAATGGACTAGAATACATTTAAAAAATTATATATAATGTATATATATATACTTTCTATATACAATTAAAAAGTCTATCATTGACTGTACATCTTCTTTTTACATATATAAAATTCAAAATAATCTTTAAGAAGCTGTACAATAGTTTTCTATTCTTATATCTAATAATCTTACTTTTACAAATTTTTTTTTTTGTTTGTATCTTTGTATTACAAAATTCAAATATCAACAGCAATAAATAGATATTTTTTGTGAAAATTTTTCTTTACAATAAAAAAATAACTGTTTTATTCAAAAAATAATTACTTCACAATTTTGTATTATTCATTTTAGTAAGAATAAAAATTTTTATTAAAAGAAAATTTTCTTTTAATTAAAATTGTTATTAAATATGAAATTATTACAAAAGATTTTACATTTGTATACAAAATTGTGATTTTGTTTTTCCATGGCTGTTGAATTTTGATTTCGTGCGTTTTTACACAATTTTGTGCATTATTTTGTATTTTTTCTCATCAGTCATTCTCTTTTTTTTTAATATCACGATTTAAAAAATAAAGTCATATATTTTTACTAGTGAGTTCAACTAAGTACTCCTAGTGGATACTTTGTTTTTCTTTCTTTCTTTCTTTCTTTCTTTTCACAGCAATATGAAAATAAATCTTCATTTGAAGAATTATTATTGATATTATTAACAATGATTATTTCGTGTTAATTGATTTTCCGTTGTTTGTTTTAATTCGATGAGTTTATTTTTCATCGGATGAATATGAGTTCCAAGCCATTCTTCAATGGTGGATGGAAAAAAAATACTTTCCATTTGTACTCGTAAATATCCTTCGAGCGATGACAATTCTAATGCCATGCTGAAAGCAAATTTTCTTTTTTCTTTTTTGCAAAAAATTTTTAAATTTACCTTTTACTTTTAAATCAATAATTACTTACTCAGTGAATGCAGGTACTAGACTCTCAAGTTGCATTGGATTTGTATAATTATTCATAATTTGCCATGGATTCATCCATGTTGCTATTCTGAAAAAAAACAATAATTTTAATTTAAAATTAAAATTGTTGCTATTTAATTTATATTTTAATATTTTTTCAAATAATTTAATGATCAAAAATTACTTACTGTTCACTGTGAACGATATTGTGATATTTGATTTTAAAATTAAGAAACCATTCGATACCAACGGCAACTTGCCAACCGGGAAATAAAAGATTACTGGGTATTGGTGCTGGTCTTGGTTGCGGTGAAATATGTAAAGGATGGTCCACATAACCCAAAGATTTGGCAACCTGTAAATGTGTTTGTTCAGAATAACCGTGTAGCCAAACTTTTAAACAAATTGCCAACGATGGTATTCCCGTTGGCAATAATTCGCACATTGTTGCATAATGATCGTATCTAAAAAGAAGGAAAAATTAAAAAATATAAATGAAAATTTCAAATGAAAAATATTAATGAATTTAAACAAACCTCGACCATCCAGTAAAAACCGTTCCACGAAATTCATGTACCTTATTAACGTGAGTGCTTAATTCTTCAAGCCATCTCTCATGATTACTTATGTGATGTCTTATTATTGGAATGTGTTGACATGATCCCGTGGCACCTTTAAACGCTGTTGCCGCCCAAATATTTGGAAAAACGAGACTATATTTATCCCACATATCTGAAAAAAAAATAAAATTTTTAAAGAAGAAATTTTTAAAACCTATTTTATAAATTTCGATTAAAATTAAAATTATTACCTGATGGTAGACAAAAATTTTCTCTCGAATTATAATGCCATATCATTGGTTCTACATATTTGCCAATATAAAATTCTGCAAAGAAGAGACAATATAATAATATAATACAATATTAATAAAAGAGAAAAATAAAATAGAAATTTTCTTTTAATGATAAAAATATTTACCATTTAGAACATGTAAATCTATCGATCTCAACATATCGTCCCACATGATTATCTTTAAACAAGGATAAGTTTCTTTAATATACTGTGCTATGCCTACAACATGTTCCAAAAATAAAGAGGATTTTCCATCTTTATTAGAATTAACACGCTTTGTACAAACAGAACATAGTCCCATGTGCCAAATTTCATCGGCACCAATATGTAAATACTGAATATCTGGATGGAAACTGACAATTTGTCGAATTAATGATTTTACAAGTGGCAAAGATCCTGGATTAGATGGACACATTGAACTGGGAAAACGATCCACTTCCCTCAATGAACTCCATTCGTCATGTTTCAAGACAAACTGTAAATATATTTTTTTTTTATAAATATTTTAATAAATTAAAGGAAATATGAGAAAAATTCACTTTATAAAATAAATATGTAGAGAAGGGTAGATTATGCGATCGTATAATTTGCATAATTTTCTAAAATCAAGTAAAACCATAATACTGCATAATTTATGCATAATTTTACTTTTTTTTGCATAATGACCGCATAATTGGCTCAAAATTGCCAAAATAGTGCTTTTTATAACTAAACTGAGAAAAAATTTTTTTTCTTAGTCTCTTTATTAAATTCAAAAAATTTTTTAGATAAATTAATCATAAATAAATACTCATTTCGTATTTATAAATTTCGTAATTTATTTTATTTTTCTGAAAAATATATTCTCTTTTAATTTCTTACGTTTATCCACGGAAATGCAGACCTCTAGAAAAAAATAATTAACATTTAAATAATTAAAATAATATTATTAATTGTACTTTCTGAAAGATGAGATATTAATTTACAAGAAAAAAATTTAAAACCAGCAAAATTTATTTATTTATACAATTTGCATAATAATAATATTTGAATAATATATTTTTTTTTTTGTAATATTGCTTCTACAGAATTTTTTAAAAATAATTCGATTTCAATGAAATATGACAAAAAAATTTTATCCTATATGCAAATTGTATAAACAAATAAATTTTGTAGATTTAAAATTTTTTTGCTTGAAAATTAATATCTCATCTTTCAGAAAGTACAATTAATAATATTATTTTAATTATTTAAATGTTAATTAATTATTTTTTTCTAGAGGTTTTGGCATGTTAACATGATTTTTAAAATTCGATATGAATAAAATAGCGATTAAAAAGACATATTCCAAATTAATTTTTTTAAATTCTTCATAATTTTGCAAAATTAAACTTTTTTTAATTGCATAATTTTGCATAATTAGGCTAATTTTAACGCTAAATGCAGCATAATTGTGCATATTTTAATCGCATAATTAGAGGATCTCTCTAAATGCATAATCTACCTTTCTCTATACATATGCAATTATATTTGAAACAAAGAAATAAAATGTTATCCAGTGATTGTAAAAACAATTTGTTGAAATTAATTAGAATTTGTTTTATCTCACCTCCATGTGACCAAATGTTTGAACCAAAGGAACAACAGCTAATCCTGAATCTCCTGCCATTTGTAAAATTTGCCGTGCCTCTTGTGTAGTGTAACCATTTGTTAAACTACTCGGGCCATTGCTTCCAATTGGAGATAATTCCCGATTGTAAGGAAATGTATCTTCCCATTCTAACAATAAACCTGTCGCACCCCATGATCTCAAAAGTGGAAATAGCTGAAACATTAATTTATATAAATTATCTTACATTAAAAAAGTTTAATCAATTAAAAAAATTAAATTATCTTCGTTTATTGTATTTTACTAATTAAAAAAATAACAATTAGTTTACAGTTAATAATCAGAAAAAGGTGTAAATAAAATAAAATTAAAAATTCTTCTTTTTTATTACTATTATTATATTAATTGATTCTGTTATAAATAGGTTATATTATATTATAAAACAGCTGGTCTTTTGTGAAAACAGTCTATTGCGTTTTAGTAGTGAATTTCACGTTATTATTTGCAATATAAATTTAAAAAATTAACGTTCTTTTTAATCATCAAATTAAATAAATATAAAAATAAAGTAGTTTCTTTTTTTTAAAATAAATTTAAATATATGTATAGGAAATGTTTTATTATGATAAACCTATATGTAAACATAGAAAATATCAGGTGTGATGTTTACACAAATGTTTTCATACCTTTTCAAAATAAGAAACTCGAGGTGGGGCTCCTTTAAGATCAATATGTACCAATCTGTAATATTAAAAATAGTTTAAAATAATGTTTCACTTTTGTATTATCGATTTTCTCTCAAGACTTTTGTCTTTAATTTTTATCTTTACCTATGCGAACCAAATGTCAAAGCATCCATCTTTGACTCACTACGTTGATGAAAAGACTTTTCAAATTAATATTTCAGTTTACATGTAAATTATCATTTTTGTTGTTGTCAAATATTCTTTATATAATTAAACATTTTTTATTTATTTTTTGAAAATTTGCAGATATTTTCAAAATTTATCTATTTTTGTTTTTATTTCTTTTTACAAAATGACTTTTGATTAGATTTGCGCAAGAAGTCACATTTAGCGCGGGAATATTTGAATTTCAAGGATAATTCAAATTTGTTAACTTCCAATTAATTAACCTTTTTTTTAATATTAATTTTTTTTAATTAATCTATTAAAAATTTAATTGAAAAAGTAAACTATTTCCTCGGCAAAAAATATTATTAAAAAATTATAAAAAGCAAATTCGATTAAATAAATTTTGTTTTTATTTACGTCGGTATATTTTTTGTCAGCCTTTTTATAAAATATTACAATCGTCATTGTTCTACCCGTTTTATCGGTCCTTATCGTATACCTGGGATCAATGAATGAACATTATATTATGAAAATCATTAAGACATTTTTGCGTAACTTGTTCATTCTGTACAATTATTGTTTTTTTTTTTTTTTTGTTTATGTTTTAACAGTACAGTTCACAATTTTTCTTACAATAAGTCGTAATAGACACAATACAGTTTTGTTTTTCTGTTTCAATACAGAAAAACGATGTATGTACATATGTAAATTTAAGTGTAGTAATTGATATATTCAACAAAGCTTGCATAATCACTGTTTTCTTTTTCTTTTATTAGTTTTTTTTTTATTTTTTGACTGAAGCGAAAATCTTCAAATGCGCATTTTTTACACTCTTCAATCTGATTATTATATTTATATGGTAAAACATTTTTTTATCACTTTGTAAATATATTTATATATATATACTATTAATATACATATACGAATCTAAGGTTCATCATGAACACAACTTCAAAAAATCGCTTATACTCAGTTGGAGTCAATTTTAAAAAATCTAAATTAACTACAGGGGAATATTTCCTGCATAAATAACAGACATGAGTTTTGGCACTCTTTCTGCGATACTGTTCAACAATTGATTTTTTTTTTCTAGCTACAATTTGTGCAACGTCGATTATTTGTCGAGAGTTTTAATTATTCTCAAAAAATAAACGCCAAAAAAAAAACATCCAAGAATAAAATAAATTACTTTTTTAAAAAAAAATCTAAAGTTCAGCTTTCCAAAATTGATTCTCACATTAAACTAAACAATGGAACAGATATTAATTTTCTATAATCAATATTCTATTTGCATTTTTTTTTTTTTTTTGACACTTAAAAAAGCATTTAAATCAATGATTCAACTTGAAAAATAAATTAATATATTAGGAAAAAAAAGAAAAAAAATACATGTTCCATTTTAGTTTTTTATGTGTACAATTTTATGGATAGGGGAATAGTCGACAATCTACAAAAATTCACAATCGGTCAGTTAAAAAAAATTGAGCTAATCTTAAAACTAGTTATACAATACGTTAGATACGAAAACGCTCGAGGACGATGGTTCGAGAATCGCTAAACAAAAGTTTAGTATTTTTCCCATTTCTTTTCTCTCTCATTGAAAATAAAAGAGAGATTATAAATAATAAATAATTCGCTTGTTCTTTAAAAAAAAAATAATAATAATAATAATAATTGATCCACTCTTCTTTTGTCCCCATTCTAAAAGAATCTACGCTAATATAGCGTTTTTGTTTCAATTAGTTTTGACTACCCATGTCTTCAAAGACTAATTTTCTTTTATCAATCACTCGATTTTTCTTTTTCTTGCTTTTTTTTACAATCACACTTAGTCACGCAACTATCTTTGATATTGGCATTCTTTGGCTAGATTGCCTTCGATACTTCGCTATTGACAATTTACAAAACGAGACCCATGGTTTCGAAAATCGAATACCGAAAAAATAATTCAAGTACAATAAATTAATTATTAGATCAGACTTACGACTTGCTATTTCGTCCGTATTCTAAAATTTGTTTGTGATAGAAAAGCAGATAGCTGAAAATAAAAAAATATAGTTTAATATTTTTTTTTTTTTTTTTGTTTCTTTATTTTTACTTACCCTTCGCTAGTGAGAACATCTTTAAGTCGTGCTCTTGTAATTAAATGATCATCACATTTAAACCATTGATCACGCTGCTGTCGAATAAAAGCCGTATAATGTCCCGTTTCAAGGGATCCTTCATGATTAATTACAGCAAATAAAGAATAACGATTATCAGTAAAGGCAGTGTCCTCGCCATTTTTTGGAATATTTTTCAATGCACTATTATTATTGCCATTGCGACGATGCGATGTAAATGGAGTCATGTCCAATTGTTCTGGGAATGAAATAAAAGTGGAAATCTTTTTATCCTGAATACTCGAATGTTCAAATCTCTTTAAATGAAAACTTGCAACTATTGGCAATTGTTTCATTGTCAATTGTTTTGTACTCTCCTGATATGTTTGACAATTGTTACATTTAATTTTTGCCGTTGATCCCAAATGTTCGGCACGTGTAAATCTTTCTAAACAATCGACCAATGATGTCGGTGCTCCTGTACTATCTGTTATTGAACTGCCAGCAGTTGGACCCAAATCCAATGATATATCCCAGAATGGATCAATTGTTGTTGATACACCGCTAAAAATAAAATTTCAATAAAGAAAAGGTTTTGAATTTTTTTTTTTATTTTTTTTCAATTAATAAACGTACTTGCAGGCTTGACAGACAACGTCACTTTGCAATCCACCGGTGAAAATTTGATCTATAATACAATTGCAATGATGGGGATTATTTTTGACAAGAATTGGTGCAGCCTCACAATGTCGATGAAGAACGTCGAGTGTTGCTATAAAAAATTCGTGAGCATCTTGTTGTTCATATCCAGCCAAATGTCTAGCGTGTGTCCAAATTAAATGAAGAAGTTTGTGAAGTGTAAGGGGCGCTTTATTTCCTGAGTAAAATTCCTGAAAGAGTTGTGCCACTTCACAAACTAAACAGCGACTTGGTTGCGGACAATGATGTCGATCAGATAGAAAATAATCGCGCAAAAGTGGCGTATGAATCAATGCTTGAACTATGCAATTCATGAAACACGTACTTCCTAAATTTATTAGTCCTCTTAAACCTGCAATTATAAATATCGATAAAATTATTCAAAAAAAAAATATATATATATAAGAATAATAAAAGTATTTTTTAAATTTAAACAATTTAGAAATTATTTAATTAAAATTTAGAGATTATCTTCTTACTTTTTTAAATTAAATTTTCGAAAATTTTAATATTGAATTTTTTTTTCACCTATAGTAGAATTTTCGATTACTCGTCTCCTGCGCGGATGTTTTCTTAACAATTCCGTTTCGCTCTGAGTTGGTTCCCACGCTCGATAAAATTCTCCTATGCTTAACGACTTTGCCGATTCGCTCCATTGTGACTTTGCTACAGCTAATAATTCTCTGTCGTAAACATAATCTCCACATTGGAAGCACAAAATATTTCCATAACACAAATCCACAGCTGTAATTAGGAGATAAAAAAAAAATATTTTTATAAAATAAGATACTGAAGAACAAAATTCTCCTTTTTTTCATAAATTTTTAAATATTATAACTTTTATAAATAATTCAAAATGAAGAAATTAAATACCTAAAAAATGTTTTTTCGTTTTGGCATGATCCTGAATATGTCCTTTAACATAACAGCCAAAGAAGATACAGTGAAGACAAGAGTGCAATCGATCTTTGTACGTTTTACATATGTGACAGAGACAACTTACAGCCTGCAAAAAAAAAAATTAATAAAATAATTAATTAATAATAAAGTATAGATGAAAAAATTAAATAAAAATACAACAGAAAATTGTTTATGAGAGACGCTTGAAAAATCGATTTTTATGTAATTTATTTTGAAATCCACGTGGCTCTTGCTCAATATTAGTGAAAGTATTTTTTATATAAAAAAATATTTCGTGTACATTTTGAAATAGAGAATAAAATTTTAACCTATTCAATTTTGTAATAAAAAAAGATAATTATTGTCAATTTCACATATTTTGAAACCATAATTATAATTATTCTAAAGGGTTTGGGTTCCTATGAAACTTATATACGATCCTGGAATCTGCAGATGTTTCTTCCAACTCATTAGAAAATTTTAATAATATTATTATTATTTTTAATTATTTGCCATTCGTTTCGTTAAACAATTATTGTTTATTTTCCAATTTTTTTTTTAATTTATAAAAAAAGATTTTTTAAAAACAATAATAATCTCTTTTGTTTGTTCGGAAAACATCAATTTCAGTAACGTGCCGATCAACGGTACTGGGGTTACAATCAGTTAATCCCGTTATTCGAGATTTATCTTTGGCAAAGTTAGAGAATAAAATGATACCTTGAATATGAATTAACCTTTTATTTCAATTTCTAAAAAGTATAGTTGTGGAAAAAAAAAATACTGAACAGGCTAACTGAAATTTCTCAATTAAGAAGCTAGTGTTAATTATCCATCGAAAGAAACAGTTTCAGATGAAAAGAAATTTTCTTATTTTAATTTCATTTTACAATCATATTTTTAAAATTATCTATTTCTATTTCATTTTTTAAATAAAAATAATAGTTTTCAAAATTTCTTAAATGAAAAATAAAAACAAAGAAAGGAGAAAAATATCTTTCTTTGTTAAGAAAGTTTGTTTAAAAAAAAAAAAACAAACAAAAAACTAAAAATTGGCTAGTGCAAGATATTCTGCAACAAAGAGAGAGGTTATTTTCAGAATTCTCAGGGACCTCTGCCAAAAAAAGGAAGAACGCCTATTTCGATAAAAAAAAAAATAACACCTGACGAATTTTTTATCACGTATATAAACCAGTTTTAATTCTTCCTACACCAAAAATACCTTATGGCATCAATGTATTGCAAATTTAATTACAGCATCTAATGATTATACCAGGGTCCTAAAATCAATAACTTCGCTCCTGATGAAAACGTGAATGAACCGAAGCTCGTGTGTGACGTGCACGTTGCGCTGGGAAAACGTGCACGTAAATACGGGGGTGTCCATGTGTTGGGTTGTCATTCTAACCATCAGAACAATTTTTTTGACAGTTCTAAACTATGAATTTAGAAGAAAAAAAAACAATTGACACACTTGAAAATTAATATCAAACTGAGAATAATTTAAAAAACAAAAAGACTTGAATAAAATATAATGTAAATATTAGGAAAATTAGATGAAAACTGTAAGAAAAACTAAGAATTGTATAAGTAACCGGCATTTTGATTTGGAGTGATAAAAAATGTCCCACCTTCCTGATCCGTGCCTCATTTGATGTACTGGTGACGAAATAAGAATGGATCACTTTATAGGGCTGTATACCCTTGGCTGCCTTGAAATTATTCAAGTGTATGCAGCCATGGTCGCTCATCTCAGGCTGGCACAAGCGATGGCGTGGTATAGTTAATGTTCGCGACAATGTTCTTACTCGAAAATCGCTAAAGATTTTGTGGGATGTCCGTTTTGATTTCCCTTGATTCACGAACCCTGGCACTCCTGTGGGGTACCAAGGGACTTTTTTGAAATAATGATGTTACGAACAGGGTGACGAACAATGTGCGCGGGGCGTAACACGCTGGCCTTGGCAGTAGCGCGCGTGTCGTTGACATGGAAAATCGCGTAAGCCTTGGAAAACTACTTTCATATGTCTTGTCGTCTTGTCACGCTGTCAAGCTCGTTTTAAAACTCGCATCAATTTATAAGAATAAGACAAATGTACGTTGTTTAGATTGGAATGAGTAAATCACGAGATTTTATGGTTCTACGGGTTATAATAGTCACCCGGGAACCAACGAATACCAGCCGGTCACTGTGTTCACTGCAACAGGGCCGGTAAGGGGTTGCCCCTCCCTGCTCCCCTCCTAACGCCAAAAAAAAGCATAGTCCAGGGACGTATTAGTCAATCTCTTCGCCCCGTGTTGTTTTTTATGTTATTTTTTTCTTTTTTTTTATACGATTACACACATAATTGATTTTATTTCTTATTTAATCTATGAGATGGTATATTATCATGGGTCTTGTCATATTTTTTTTTGTTAATCTAGAGATGATTGTTAATTCTATTAATGAACCAGGTGAATACATGTTATAGTGTGTTCTGAGAAGAGCAGGTGTGATCTCAAATCGGCTGATTTTCAAGAGGAGTAGGAGAAACTGTATCCCTTTATTTACGGCCCTGATTTTGATAGTTTTTTTTTTGTTTAAAAAAAATTGTTATGATTACATTGAAATATTTTTGAACTTTGTATTGCAAATTTTTTGAAACATATATGATTAACATAGATTTTAGGTTAGAACTCATCTATATAGAAAAATTTGTCGATCATTATTTATGAATTCTATTGTCTTTATACAATAGGAAGGGTTCTAAAATTTAGGGAAATAAAAAAAAAAAAAAATGCTGGAGAAATATTTTTTTAAGGGACTGGGGAAACCCCAAAAATGGATTAGAAAGGTAATAATTTATTACGATTGTAAAAATTTTTCAGCTGGTGCTATGTGCGAATATATAAGCGATTATAAAGGTAGAGCAATAAAACATGAGGGTCTCATGGAATAGAAAATCTGACCGCGACTAGTCATTGTATATAATTTTATTGCTTTCTAAAAAGTAAAATAAACATTTTTCTTAATTTTTTTCTTATCTCAAAAATAATAATTCGTTTGACAATTTTTCACACTGGTAATATAATTTTCGTAATAAATCCTTAAACTTTAATCCTCTCAAAAATATATTTTCTTTTGTATTTATAACCTTTTTAGTTTAACTGCAAAAAAACCTTAAACATAAAAAATTTGTATAAAAAACAATATAATAAAATAATTTTAAATAAAACAAATAACTTACTTAAATTTTGAATTTAATTCAAAAAATAACTTTTTAAATTTTAGCGGTTATTTTTAAATATTTTATTTAGTGCAAATTTATCTTTTTTAAATTATAACGGTTTCCGTTTTTTAGTATATTTTTAACGATCAATTTTTAATGGTTTATTTATATTATTTGAAAAAAGAAAATACTTTCAATTGTTTATAATAAAATAATTGAATCATATTTTCTGTTAAAAGCTTTTAAAAGAAAATTCAAATTTTCAAATGAATGTCACGTGACCAATAAAAGAATCGAAAATCTAACCTGACCTGACTGACGGTTGAACATTTAAGTTGTGACAAACAAGACGAAGGCGGCATTTTCTTTCTTGTTCTTATCGTGAGCAGGTATAAACTCGTCTGTGAACAATTTTGAGAACCTAAATAAGTGATTATCATGTTTAGAAATAGATATTTTTCTAATACAAGTTTGATTGTGATTGACAATTGATTTTGATCAAGAATTTTCGTTACATTTTGCAAACGAAACATTATTTTCTAACCTCTCGTTCGACATTCTTTGTTTGGCAGCGTTTTTTTTTGTGATTTTTGTGACAAATTTTGATTTTAATTGCTTTCTAGGGAAGTGATTTTTTAAAGAGAAGACAATGGCAAACGAGAGGGAAAGGAAAAAAAGAAGAAATGAAGATAGTATAGGAGATTCTCAACATGCGAAAAAAGCAAGGGAACATAATATTTCGAATTCTTTTGTAACAGAAGTAAGTTGACTTTTTTATATCAAAATATTCGTTTTATTTTTATAATTGTACTCTTATTGTACAGTTTTAATTTTTTTTTTTGTCTTTTTTAAACGTTTAGTAAAATTTTATTAATATAAGACGCAATTTCTGATATGATTTTTTGGATTTTATTTATTTTGTAAAATTTTTTAATTAGATGTGGAAACCATAATTTCTAACGTTCATTTGTCATGTTCTTATTTCGTAATTGTCTTTTTGAAATTTCTAGTTTCTATGTTTTTTTCTACCATTTTTATTCAAAATAGTTTTCTTTATCTTTCGTTACACTTTTTTTGATTGAAAATTTGATAAAAAAAAAATTCAAGTTACATATTTTAAATTAATTACTATATTAATGTTGCTAATATTTTATTTTTACATTTAATTTACAATATTGAATATTTTACTAAAATTCGTGGGGTTTTTTTTTTCAGCAAACTATTGGAAAAGTTAAACGAGTTTTCATGCGAAACTTCATGTGTCATGACGCTTTGGAAGTTGAATTAAATCCAAATGTTAATTTCATTGTAGGACGCAATGGAAGTGGTAAAAGTGCGATTTTAACCGCTGTTATGATTGGTCTTGGTGGTAAAAGTAAAATTACAAACCGAGGAACTTCCGTAAAAGGTAAATTACAATTCATAAGGTATCTTTTCTTTTCTATAATAATTTAATTAAACTTGAATTTTGTATTATTTAATTTTATTTTATACATTGACAAGAGATTATTTTTTATTACAGGATTGATACAAAATGGCAAAAATAGTGCTTCAATTGAAGTATCTTTGACAAATGCAGGAGTCGGTGCTTACAAGCGTGAAATTTACGGCGATATTATTACAGTCTGCCGAACTATCGGTGCAAGTTCGACTTACAAAATCAAAAATTGGAAAGGTATTTAAAATATTTTTTTAAAGTTTTAATGTAAAATAAAAAAAAAAAAATTAAATGATTAAAATGTCTATTTCTTTTTGCTAGGCGAAATTATTTCTCATAAAAAAGAGGAACTTGATAAAATTATTGATTCAATGAATATTCAAGTTGAAAATCCAATTTCAATTCTAAATCAAGATGTGTCGAGAACATTTTTAGTTTCATCGACTGCTCAAAATAAGTATGATTTGTTTATGAAAGCAACTCGTTTAAATATTATTGGTCAAAATTATAAGGACGCTCACGCTTGCAATGAAGATTCACGTCGTCGTTTAGCGGCTACTGAACAGGTTTTTTATAAATTTATTTATTTTATTCTATTTATTATAGTTTTTCATTTTATAATTTACATTTTAAATATTTTTTAAATAATAAATTTTATTTCATTTCAGTCAATGGAAGAAACAAGAGCCGAAATTGAACAAATAAGAGAGAATATACGGGTTTTGGATTCTGCAGATGAGGCGCGGGAAAATTTTAAAAAATTACAAATAGAATTGTCTTGGTCAATTGTAAGTATTTCTAAACTAATGTATAATTATTATTTTAATAATAGAATATAATTTAATGTAAACAAATTTTCAAATTAGGTATCTGCAGAAGAAGAAACGGCAAAAAAATTGCAGCAACGACTTTCTGATTGTGAGAAAGAAGCTAAAAAATTAGAAGCCGCCGATGGTGAGCGAGAAGAAAAATTATTAAAAATAAAGGAGGACATTGAGTAAGTATTTAATAAATTGCAAATTAAGAGAATTTTATATATATTAAGAAAATTAATTTATATTGTAAAATTATAATTTTTAGAATGTGTTTATTATTTTTATCGCTGTTTTGTATTTTACAGAAAATTGGATGTTAAGTGTCAAGCAATAAAATCTGAATCTGCAAATAGTGCTGAATTATACAGAACATCGAAGCAAACCTATTTGGAGAGTAAAGATGCTCATGCTGAAAAATTGAAGGCTTGGCGTATTTCACAAACTAAAGTGAAACGATTAGAATCTGATATTGGACTTCTTAAAAAAGAAATTGAACGATTGGAAGCGTAAGATTTTAATTTTTCTTATAAATATATATTTGTTTAACATCGATAGAATTAAGATTTTAATTTTGAAAATGATATATTTATTACAGTGAAAGCAGCAAACAAGAAGCAGAGAGACAAGAATCAAGGGATAAACTTTCACAGTTTGAGCAAAGTTTAGATGAAGTTGAAGCTACTTTACGCACTAAGCAAACAGATCAAATGCATTTAGAAGCTCATATTAGAGAAAAATTAATGCGAGATGAAAATTCTTTAAGAATAGAAGTTGAAAGTTGCAGGAATAAATCGAGTAAGTTGCGAATTATTGATTTACAATTAAATTAATATATGTATTTTATTAATTTCTTTAATTTTTTTTTTTTCTTTCTAGGACAAATTTCACAAAAATTGTCGGCCATCAAGAAACAAGTTAATAATGCCATTGCTGTTTACAGTCCGAATATGCCTCGTCTTCTCAAACGTATCGATGAGGAGTATCGAAAAGGCAAATTTCGGGCGAAACCCCGAGGACCCATTGGTGCTTTTATTAAAGTAAAAGATCCCCAATGGATACCAGCTGTTGAAAATTTTCTTTCCAATTTATTGAGTGCTTTTTGCGTTGATAATCGAGCTGATGCAAATAAACTTGGTTTAATTATGCGCGAAGTTTTTCGCGATGAAAGATGCCCGCAAATAATTTCGAGTAAATTTTATGATCGGGTGAGTTTTTTTTTTTATTTTGTTTAAAAAATTAATTTTTAAGAAAGAAATTAATTAAAAATGTTAAATAAAATTTTCTAAATAATTTCAGGTTCATAATGTACAACAACATTGTACACGTTCCCCGGATTTTCCGAGTCTTTTGGAAATGATGGAGATATCTGATTCGGTTATAGCAAATTGTTTAATTGATCAACGTGAAATTGAATGTGTTTTATTGATTCCAACTAGTGAGCAAGCTTGCAAAGTAATGTGTAAAACACAATATGTTCCTAATAATTGTAAACGAGCTTTCACTCAGGGTGGAGATCTCTTTTTCCCAGCACCAAATTATAAAACTTATGGTGGTAGACGTGGAATGAGGGCGAAATTTCTTCAAGTTTCAACTACTCAGGCAATTCAGTAAGTTTCTCTTTAACTATTTCGTTTATTTAAAAAAAAAAAAAAAAAAACGAACGTCAATATAATTAATATTTTTCATTTTAGAATTTTAGAAGAAGATTTAACAACTGCTGGTGAAGAGCAGCAAAGAGCTTCGACAGAATTACAATCGGTTACAATGAATCTCCACAGTGCCAATGCCGAGTTACAAAAGATAAATAAAGAAGTTAATAAATTACGAACAACTGAAATTCAATTGAAAACTGCAATTACTAGTGTAAAGGACAAGCTAGAAGAAGTTCAATGCAAAACAATTGAAATGTTTGTAAGTAAAAATGTTTAATTTCAAAAAATTGCCAATACAAATAAAATTTTTAAAAATATGTTCAATTTCAAAATAGAAAAATATATTATTTTTTTTTTTAAATAAAAATTTATTAATTACAGACAAGTGACATGGATCGTAATCAAAGAAAACTCCAAGAGGCAAAAGCAGAGGAAGATGCTTTAAAAAGAGAAACTGTCGAAAGGCAGAATAGAGTTGCGGAATTGGATGCTGAAGTCAAACGTTATAGAAATATCGTTAATGAAACTGAAGTGAGGCTTAATCCAATTAAGGTGAGAAAATTTCTTTTAACTTTCCTCATTTACTAATTTATAATACAATTTTTATTAAATTTTTTTTTTTTTTTTTGTCATCCTGTTAATATTTATATTGAAATTTACATTTTTTTAGGAGGAAATATCTCAATTGAAAGAAAAACAATCAATTTTATGCTCAAACTACGAAAATGTGGCGAGAAAATTAAATATCGCTAAGCAGAATATTGATAAAAGTAAAACGGATTTCGAAAAACAACAACGAACTATTTCTCTTGCTGTTAAAAATGCCACGGAAAAAGGCGAAAAAGTAGCTGTAACCAGGTATTAATCATAAAGTTTTATCTTTATTTCAATATTAATTTTCCTTTATTTTTTTTTGATATTAATAGAAAATTTTTCTTCAGATCCCAAAGAGAATTGGCTCGTTTATCGAACGAACTTCAAGCGACCATCGAGATGATTGAGAATGAATATGGTTCTAAAGACGAATGGAATAGAGAGCTGCAAACAAAATTAGATAAATTCAGTCAAATTGATGAATTTCACAGAGTTCTTGCAAAATCTTGTCAGGTAATTTTATAAGAGTTTCTTTATTTCAGCTTATTATTTATTTGAAAAATTTCATTATTTACAATAATTTTAATTTCTAATAATTCAGAAACATCAAATAAGACTCGAAAAACGACGGCGTTTGTTTAACGAAATGAAAAAAGAAATTGGATTTAAAGTTCAAACATCTTTTCAAAGTATTTTACGACTTCGAAAGTACAAGGTAATTTTCATTTTATTGTTGAATTGAAAATTAATTTTTTAATTTTTTTGCTTATTTAAAGTAACTAATTGAACTTTTTTTTTTTTAATTTCTTGTACATAGGGATCAATTAAAATTGATCATAAGGAAAAATCACTTCAACTTGAAGTAAATCCACAAAATGATGCCAAAAGACCAACAAATGATGCGAAATCTTTGTCTGGTGGCGAAAGATCCTATTCAACAGTGGCATTTATTTTGGCTCTCTGGGATTGTACTGGATTACCTTTTTATTTTCTCGACGAATTCGACGTCTTTATGGTAATTAAATAAACATATTAATTAAATTTTACTTTTTTATGACAATTTAAAAGGGAAAGTAAAGAAATAATTCTTTGTTTTAATTAAAAAATTTATTTTTCCTTATTTCAGGATAAAATTAATAGACGTATCATAATGGACCTATTAATAGAACACACTAGGTCACATCCTCAAAGTCAATTTACATTTTTGACTCCACTGGATACATCAAGCATCGATGTTAATGATCACATAACAATTCATCGGTAAGATTTTTTTTCATTTTTAAATTAATATTAATTTAATATAGAAACTTTTTTTTCTATTTTGTAAATAAAAACAAAATTGCTAAATTTTTACAAATATTTACAGATTAGCTCCTCCAGAAAGAGCGGAAAACTAAAAAATCTATCATTCCATCCTTTCTTCTGTTCGGTCGTCAACGCTTTAATTAATGTTTATTCGTTTATACCATTGCGTATGTCGTATATATTTATAAAGGTCCTATTTATGTGTCCGTAACAAATGATGCCTTAAAGAGAGAGAGAAATGAAAAATGTTTGTAACAGCGAACATAAAATATAAGGTATATGTTTATCAATTAATATATAATATATAAAGAAAGAAATTTATTTCATCGTTAGTTTAAACTGTTTATTTTTTAAGAATAGAAAGGAAAAAAAAAATTGTGAAACAGTTCTGGCCATTGAAAAGTACTATTATTGTTTCTAAATTTAAAAGAAATTTTTTAAGACAATCATCGTTTTGTATTTTGTCTCATCGTCACAGCAAACCTTTTAAGTTTGTAATATATATATATTAAAAAAAAACCAAGAATTTATTTAAACGTTAATTCAAAGTATTTATTTACAAACAATAAAAAAAAAAGTGCTAGCCGTTAAAAAGTACTATTAAATATTGTTTCTAAATTAAAAAGAAAATTTTTAAGGCAATCGTTTTGTATTTTGTCTCATCGTCACAACAAGTTTTTTAAGTTTGTAATATAAGACTAAAACCAAGAATTTGTTTAATCGTTAATTCAAAATGTTTATTTACAAACAAGAGAAAAAAAAAACAGTGCTGGCCGTTGAAAAGTATTATTTCTAATTGCAAAGAAATTTGAAGATATTCATCGTTTTGTGATTTGTCTTCTTTGTATATTGATTGTTTAAAAAAAAAAAAAAACAAAAAAGAAAAAAAAACGAAGGTAATTTCCTATTTGGAAATTCGGTGCCTTGATATGTATACAGTATTACACGTTTAGTTTAAAGTTAATGTGTAATATAAAATATAAAATATATATTTCATATAAAAAATTCGTTATAACAAATTATTGTTTTTCTTTACACTTAAAATTTTTTATTTCAATATTATTTTAATATAAAAATTTTAGTAGAATTAAAATTCGATTTTTTGTTAAAATTAAAAAAAATAATTGCAATTTGATTTTTGAAAAAAATTATTTTCATACTGTGAAGGTATAAATGGTTTGTCAATTAACTAGGTCAAGGTCACTTTGTAAATGTAGTCCATTCTGGATGCTGGGGCTTAGACTTGATTCCATAAAGGCGCGGTCTTATTAAGTAATTATTCAACCTTTAGTGAAAGTCAAGGTGTAATGCCGTCAGGTATAATAAAATATTTAAGAAACACAATATATCTCTCAGGCGATTGTTTTTAATTTTCTATATAACTTTTTATTTCAGATTATAATTAATTAATTGCTCATTATATATTTAATTTTATTCAATGATAGTTTTGTAATTATTTCTAATTATAGTTCATAAATATTTATAATTGAAAAAAAAAATTATTATAAATTCAGAAACAGGTTCAAAATATTTTATACAATTAGCAAAAATTTTAATTTCAGAAAAAAATGGAACGCATGATTCGTAACTGAATTCGCATTTCGTAATACAACTCTATACGATCAACGAGAACAAAAATTTTATATCTATGGCTTTTTATCGATTAAATTGTTTTATGCCAAAAATTTGAATCTACTAAATGAAAATTCGACTAAATTAAAATTATGTTCAAAAAAAAAATAATTTGAAGATTTTACTAAATTGAAATTTAGAAAAATTAATTTTCAATGAAATTAGAGTTCAATGAAAATTCGGTTCTATTTTATAAAATTTGCTTATAATTGATGTGGGAAATAATTAATGAGCCAAAAGTTTTGAACGTTCAAATGAACGAAATATTTTTTTCAACCTATAAATTATTGAAAAATTATGATAGCAATGTAAAATAAAACAGTAAATTAAATAACTTCTTTTTAGATATTTAAAACAATATTTTGTAATGAAATTCATACATAAAGTTGCAAAAAAAAAATTTCGTTCATTTGAACGTTCAAAACTTTTGGCTCATAATAATTATGGATTTGGAAAATGAATGTAACAAATAATAATACAAAATGGAATTTTTTTTTTATATAAAATCATTTAATGAGACTCGACACTTAGCAAATAATAAATAGAATTAATTTTTTTTTGAGGTAAATCAGTGATAATAAGCGTTGCTGGCGTAGGAGAGAGGTGCAACAACTTTAGCGTGGGGCAATGGTGCACTGTAGGCGATGTGTGCAGGTGCAGCATAAGCAACTGGAGCAGCAGCGACGGTTTTAAGTGCTGGCTCTTTGTGTACAACTGCATTGAATCCATTGACATCATCGGCGGTGTATTCGACTGTTCTTTTAGTTCCATCAGCTTCAATGAGAGAATAACTTCCATGAACGACATCACCGTCACGAGTTTCGTGTTGTGTTTTTGAATCACCGGTCAATGCATCTTGAACATCATAGGCGTAACTGTATTGAGGATGAGGATCGTATTCAGTGTCAACTGTTTTAACAACTTTGGCAACTGGAGCAGCGGCGTATGCAACTGGAGCTGCGGCATAAGTGTGAGCAACTGGAGCGGCATGAGCCACTTGTACATGAGCCGCTGGCGCAGCGTACGCTAATTGTTGAGGGGCATATGATATCGCTGGTTGAGCGGCGTAGGCTAATTTAGCAACAGGTGCTGCATATTGAACCGCAGCTGGTGCACCAATAAAACCTGCACGTGCAGTTGCAACAAGAGCAACAAAAGCGAGGAACTGCAAATGAAAATTTTTATTCTAAATTTTCCTGATTTTATATAATATTTAGTATGATAATTAAATTTATTTAATATATTTCAAAATTTTATTTATGAAGAATCATATATTAGAATTCCATAAAATAAAATAATACTATAAAATTAAATGAAAGAAAAAATATATAAAAAGTAATTTTTGAAAATTGAGATTTTATCAACTTATTCTACAGTAATAATTGACAAATTATGATTACCAACTTAACAATTAAGGATACAAAAAAAAATTGAAAATGTTTTCGTACCTTGAATGCCATATTTTGTTTTGAATGGTACAGTTGCTGGATTGCAAATGATGTCTTTCGAAGTGGAGAATTCGACTTTTATAGGAGGCGAAACAAGACGTTAGATGTGATGTAAGCGGTCTGTGTACATTCGATTTTTGGTGGTCAGGGCTCTGTAATAAGAGGAATTGGGCAAGAAACTGGATCACACCCTCAGGCAATGTCAGGGGGGGGGACGACGACCAATTATTTGACTGAACCACATTAAGCGTCGACCAGGTCGTGTCCTTGTCTCTTGAAAGTAATTTTTCTATAGTTTTACAATAATTTTTTATATATGGATTTTTTTATATTAATTTATTTATCCTTTTAAATTTATGAGTCCACAACGTTTTTATAAATGAAAACGAAAAAATAATTAGACAATATCCATTAATTTTGGTTAAAATTAAAGTTATTTGGGGGTTTTTATAAAAGTATTAATTTCTTGAAAATTTGTGCAAATCAAAATTAGAGATAAATTGACATGAAAAAATAAATTTTAATTTTTCGTTTTTGAAAACGTTGCGGACTTCAGCCTCATTTAAATTTAATGTCATTAATTTTTTTTTTTAAATTATTTAGTTATGAATTTTTTTTATGTTAATTTTAATTTTTAACCATTCGTACTTTTTAAATTCATTGTTTATTATTTAAATTATTTTTAATATATAAATAATAAAACAATTTTATATTTTTATATTCATTTATTATTTAAATTACTTTTTTTTAAATTAAATAAATAATTAATTAATTAAATAAATTTTTAAATAAAAACCAAATTAAATTAACTTTAATAAACAAATTATAAAACAATAATAGATTTCCTATTAATTAATTTTCATACCTATTTTTTTGTTTTAAAATTAATAATTTTTTTTTCTTGAAAATTTCTCTCAGGATTTATTTTTTATTTTATAATAATATGACATAACAAAAAAAAACATGTATATGATATTCACTTTTATAACAGTCATTACGAAAGGTCGCATATGAGTTTGAATAGACCTTTTGGTATAGAGAATAATATTGTAAAGTCATTTTGAATTTTTTCTTTTCTTTTAATATTAAAACAGTGGCACTAGACATGGGAAAAATATGAATTCAAGGTTGAAATCTATAAAAACTTTATTACAAAGGAAATTAAATTGATTTTCTCAAAAAAAAAAAAAATTTAATCAAAAATTTATTATATTATTTTTGAATGAATCATCAATAAAGTCTTTTTCTTTTTTTAATTTTTGCTCATGTGCATTAGATTTTTTTTTATATAAATTAGTCTCATAAATAACTTGTTAAATTATTCATCATTTCCAAACTTCTTTTTTTTTTTTTTTTGAAGAGAAACTATTTTTAGATATACATGTAATGTGCAATTGGTTCTACGCAACACATATACATAGCAGTTTAAAATCTATTATCTTTGAATATCTCTCTTACTCAATTTCTTTCTCCTATATGTCTTTCATTTTAGTGTATCTGTCATAGAGGTTGATCTATAAGGACATGAACTTTATGACGTGACCACGATATACAACAACTATAAAAGCCAAATCTTTTTCACAGAAAGACATCATTTGCAAGCAGCAAAGTAACTAATCAACACTTTAGAAAAAATGGCTTTCAAAGTAAGTAATATTCTAAATTTAAGAATAATTATATTTCCTTCTAGTTTCTATTTTATACTTTTCACTGAAAATATATATATGTATATATCTTTTTGAAATAAGAAACAAATTTTTAAATATTCTTATTTCAAGAATAATCTTTCTTATATGAAAATATTCTTCTTTTGAGAGTATTTTTTTCGTTTAAAAATATTCTCCATTTGAAAATATTATAATTCTGATAACTTTAATAATAAAATATTAATTATATTTTTAAATTATTATGAAGATTGATATTAAATTGAGAATTGTATTTAATTAAATTAAAATTGTTTTTTTTTATTTTTAAATAAATAATTGTTAATTTTTTCAGCTCTTTGTATTCGCCGCCTGTTTGGCTTTGGCAAGTGCTGGAATTATTTCTGCTCCAGTGCAATATGCAGCACCTTTGACTTATTCAGCACCAGCTGTTGTGAAAACTTATGCAGCTGCTCCAGTTCTTGCTCATTCAAGTTCATCAATTGTGAAAACTGTAAATACTGTACCACAAGTTTACAGTGCACCAATTTATACAGCATCAGCTTACAGTGCACCAGCATACACAGCACCTATTGTAAAAACAATTGCTGCACCAGTTGTCGCTGCTCCTGCAGTTGCAACATATTCAGTTCCAACTTATGCTAAAGTTGCTGCCCCATTGACATATACTTCAGCTGGATGGGCTTAAAAATTTACATAACAAATACAATTATCTCAAATTGTAAGATCATAATATTCAAATTGCATATAATTTTTTGTTACAAATTTTGATTGAATAAATTATTTAAAATCCGAATTTTATAGTTGAATTATTTCAAATGTTTCACAATCTATACACGGAAAAAGAAAAATTATTCTTTATCAACATGATCACACAGCTGTCGGGAAGAGACGACAGGTTTAACTAAAATGATCTAGTTTAGTGATCTAGATTAGTGATCTAGATTAGTGATCTAGATTAGTGATCTAGATTAGTGATCTAGATTAGTGATCTAGATTAGTGATCTAGATTAGTGATCTAGATTAGTGATCTAGATTAGTGATCTAGATTAGTGATCTAGATTAGTGATCTAGATTAGTGATCTAGATTAGTGATCTAGATTAGTGATCTAGATTAGTGATCTAGTTTAGTGATCTAGTTTAGTGATCTAGTTTAGTGATCTAGTTTAGTGATCTAGATTAGTGATCTAGTTTAGTGATCTAGTTAAGTGATCTAGATTAGTGATCTAGTTTAGTGATCTAGATTAGTGATCTAGTTTAGTGATCTAGATTAGTGATCTAGTTTAGTGATCTAGTTTAGTGATCTAGATTAGTGATCTAGTTTAGTGATCTAGATTACTGATCTAGTTTAGTGATCTAGTTTAGTGATCTAGTTTAGTGATCTAGTTTAGTGATCTAGTTTAGTGATCTAGTTTAGTGATCTAGATTAGTGATCTAGATTAGTGATCTAGATTAGTGATCTAGTTTAGTGATCTAGGTTAGTGATCTAGTTTAGTGATCTACATTAGTGTTCTAGTTTAGTGATCTAGATTAGTGATCTAGATTAGTAATCTAGTTTAGTGATCTAGATTAGTGATCTAGATTAGTGATCTAGATTAGTGATCTAGATTAGTGATCTAGATTAGTGATCTAGATTAGTGATCTAGATTAGTGATCTAGTTTAGTGATCTAGTTTAGTGATCTAGTTTAAAGATCTAGATTAGTGATCTAGTTTAGTGATCTAGTTAAGTGATCTAGATTAGTGATCTAGATTAGTGATCTAGATTAGTGATCTAGATTAGTGATCTAGATTAGTGATCTAGATTAGTGATCTAGATTAGTGATCTAGATTAGTGATCTAGATTAGTGATCTAGATTAGTGATCTAGATTAGTGATCTAGTTTAGTGATCTAGTTTAGTGATCTAGTTTAGTGATCTAGATTAGTGATCTAGTTTAGTGATCTAGTTAAGTGATCTAGATTAGTGATCTAGTTTAGTGATCTAGATTAGTGATCTAGTTTAGTGATCTAGATTAGTGATCTAGTTTAGTGATCTAGTTTAGTGATCTAGATTAGTGATCTAGTTTAGTGATCTAGATTACTGATCTAGTTTAGTGATCTAGTTTAGTGATCTAGTTTAGTGATCTAGTTTAGTGATCTAGATTAGTGATCTAGATTAGTGATCTAGATTAGTGATCTAGTTTAGTGATCTAGGTTAGTGATCTAGTTTAGTGATCTACATTAGTGTTCTAGTTTAGTGATCTAGATTAGTGATCTAGATTAGTAATCTAGTTTAGTGATCTAGATTAGTGATCTAGATTAGTGATCTAGATTAGTGATCTAGATTAGTGATCTAGATTAGTGATCTAGATTAGTGATCTAGTTTAGTGATCTAGTTTAGTGATCTAGTTTAAAGATCTAGATTAGTGATCTAGTTTAGTGATCTAGTTAAGTGATCTAGATTAGTGATCTAGATTAGTGATCTAGATTAGTGATCTAGTTTAGTGATCTACATTAGTGATCTAGTTTAGTGATCTAGATTAGTGATCTAGATTAGTGATCTAGTTTAGTGATCTAGATTAGTGATCTAGTTTAGTGATCTAGTTTAGTGACTAATCTAGATCACTAATCTAGATCACTAAACTAGATCACTAATCTAGATCACTAAACTAGATCACTTAACTAGATCACTAATCTAGATCACTAATCTAGATCACTAAACTAGATCACTAAACTAGATCACTAATCTAGATCACTAATCTAGATCACTAAACTAGATCACTAATCTAGATCACTAATCTAGATCACTAAACTAGATCACTAAACTAGATCACTAAACTAGATCACTAAACTAGATCACTAAACTAGATCACTAAACTAGATCACTAAACTAGATCACTAAACTAGATCACTAAACTAGATCACTAAACTAGATCACTAAACTAGATCACTAAACTAGATCACTAAACTAGATCACTAAACTAGATCACTAAACTAGATCACTAAACTAGATCACTAATCTAGATCACTAAACTAGATCACTAAACTAGATCACTAATCTAGATCACTAAACTAGATCACTAAACTAGATCACTAATCTAGATCACTAAACTAGATCACTAAACTAGATCACTAATCTAGATCACTAAACTAGATCACTAATCTAGATCACTAAACTAGATCACTAAACTAGATCACTAAACTAGATCACTAAACTAGATCACTAAACTAGATCACTAAACTAGATCACTAAACTAGATCACTAAACTAGATCACTAAACTAGATCACTAAACTAGATCACTAAACTAGATCACTAATCTAGATTACTAATCTAGATTACTAATCTAGATTACTAATCTAGATCATTAAACTAGATCACTAATCTAGATCACTAAACTAGATCACTAATCTAGATCACTAATCTAGATCACTAAACTAGATCACTAAACTAGATCACTAAACTAGATCATTAAACTAGATCACTAAACTAGATCACTAAACTAGATCACTAAACTAGATCACTAAACTAGATCACTAAACTAGATCACTAATCTAGATTACTAATCTAGATCACTAAACTAGATCATTAAACTAGATCACTAAACTAGATCACTAATCTAGATCACTAAACTAGATCACTAAACTAGATCACTAAACTAGATCACTAAACTAGATCATTAAACTAGATCACTAAACTAGATCACTAATCTAGATCACTAAACTAGATCACTAAACTAGATCACTAAACTAGATCACTAAACTAGATCACTAATCTAGATCACTAAACTAGATCACTAAACTAGATCACTAAACTAGATCACTAAACTAGATCACTAAACTAGATCACTAATCTAGATCACTAAACTAGATCACTAAACTAGATCACTAAAGATCACTAAACTAGATCACTAATCTAGATCACTAAACTAGATCACTAAACTAGATCACTAAACTAGATCACTAAACTAGATCACTAATCTAGATCACTAAACTAGATCACTAATCTAGATCACTAAACTAGATCACTAAACTAGATCACTAAACTAGATCACTAAACTAGATCACTAAACTAGATCACTAAACTAGATCACTAAACTAGATCACTAATCTAGATCACTAAACTAGATCACTAAACTAGATCACTAAACTAGATCACTAATCTAGATCACTAAACTAGATCACTAAACTAGATCACTAAACTAGATCACTAATCTAGATCACTAATCTAGATCACTAAACTAGATCATTAAACTAGATCACTAAACTAGATCATTAAACTAGATCACTAATCTAGATCACTAAACTAGATCACTAATCTAGATCACTAAACTAGATCACTAAACTAGATCACTAAACTAGATCACTAAACTAGATCACTAATCTCGATCACCAAACTAGATCACTAAACTAGATCACTAAACTAAATCACTAAACTAGATCACTAAACTAGATCACTAAACTAGATCACTAAACTAGATCACTAATCTAGATCACTAAACTAGATCATTAAACTAGATCACTAATCTAGATCACTAAACTAGATCACTAAACTAGATCACTAATCTAGATCACTAAACTAGATCACTAAACTTGATCACTAAACTAGATCACTAAACTAGATCACTAATCTAGATCACTAAACTAGATCACTAATCTAGATCACTAAACTAGATCACTAAACTAGATCACTAAACTAGATCACTAATCTAGATCACTAAACTAGATCACTAAACTAGATCACTAATCTAGATCACTAAACTAGATCACTAAACTAGATCACTAATCTAGATCACTAAACTAGATCACTAAACTAGATCACTAAACTAGATCACTAATCTAGATCACTAAACTAGATCACTAAACTAGATCACTAAACTAGATCACTAATCTAGATCACTAATCTAGATCACTAATCTAGATCACTAAACTAGATCATTAAACTAGATCACTAAACTAGATCATTAAACTAGATCACTAATCTAGATCACTAATCTAGATCACTAATCTAGATCACTAATCTAGATCACTAAACTAGATCACTAAACTAGATCACTAATCTAGATCACTAAACTAGATCACTAAACTAGATCACTAATCTAGATCATTAAACTAGATCACTAAACTAGATCACTAATCTAGATCACTAATCTAGATCACTAAACTAGATCACTAAACTAGATCACTAATCTAGATCACTAAACTAGATCACTAATCTAGATCACTAACCTAGATCACTAAACTAGATCACTAAACTAGATCACTAAACTAGATCACTAATCTAGATCACTAAACTAGATCACTAAACTAGATCACTAAACTAGATCACTAAACTAGATCACTAAACTATATCACTAAACTATATCACTAAACTAGATCACTAAACTAGATCACTAATCTAGATCACTAATCTAGATCACTAAACTAGATCACTAATCTAGATCACTAAACTAGATCACTAATCTAGATCACTAAACTAGATCACTAAACTAGATCACTAAACTAGATCATTAATCTAGATCACTAAACTAGATCACTAATCTAGATCACTAATCTAGTTCACTAATCTAGATCACTAAAGTAGATCACTAAACTAGATCACTAATCTAGATCACTAATCTAGATCACTAAACTAGATCACTAATCTAGATCACTAAACTAGATCACTAAACTAGATCACTAATCTAGATCTCTAAACCAGATCACTAATCTAGATCACTAATCTAGATCACTAAACTAGATCACTAAACTAGATCACTAATCTAGATCACTAATCTAGATCACTAAACTAGATCACTAAACTAGATCACTAAACTAGAT